TTTATCGTTTTGTTTTGGAGATATGATGTCCCTTCAGTGTTGCCGTAGAGAAAAGGCGACTTCCGCTTCTGGTCGAGGGGGGGGGGGGGGGCAGAAATAAAGAGAGAACCTGCACCAGCTGTTGCTCTCCCTGGAGACTACTGGACATCGCTGCGGTAAAGTCAGCAGACACTCAGATCTCCATGGTCAACTTAGCAGGCACTTACATGTTAGGGCACCTATATGCTGAAATTCACGGTAAACGCATTTAAACGCCACAGATCGGGAGCGAGCGAAGGACTTTGAAAGTTAGCGGAAACATTAACGTGAGACAACATCCGGTTTCTTCAGACGAACATCCGGTTTTCAGAATAAGATGCCAACAAAGTATGAATTATATTCACATTAAGTATAAAACATGCTACCTGCATCTCGTGAACCAAATGTTATTGCCCTTTTGTTCATATAGCAGTACTTTTAAAATAAAAGTGCACAATACACTACTTTTGAATTCATTATTGAACTTTGCCATAACAATAAAAAATCCATGCGATTAAATATTTGAATCGTTGCCCAGCACTAATATATATATACACAAATATACGTATAAGCATATATACACTTACATGCTTACATAAGATAGCTCCAACAAATTTCAACCAATAATATCATGACATCCATCCATCAATCTATCTCAAACTTTCAGCAATAAGGGAGGTGTGTGTGTTGCCACAGTCCTCTAGCTCTGTATCATACTACATTCGCAGCCCAACCACTTTTTAGCGGTCCAATCAAATGCTTTGAAAGGATTTGCTTTAAATCCCTCTCGTAAATGACCAGGGCAGCTGGAGATCACGCGAGAATCGTAGGCTGAAATATCACAGGCTTCAAGTAATGTGTTGGTGTCCAGTGAACCGGAGACCAGACCAATCAGCATCCTGTGAAGAGCTACTGGCAGCTAGGGGCGTGGCTTAGGTGTGAGAGACGACACAGAGAGGTGACTGTTCTAACCAACGATGGCGGTTAGCATAGATGCTATAATAGCATCAGCTCTATTAGTATTTCCTCTTTGAAAGTAGAACAAAGAATGACACTGAAGCGTAATAATGAATCCCACTGCTCTTCATGAAAAGACCCACCCTGCGTAGCTGGTTGAGGCAGAGACGATTGTTAAGCATTAACCTCGAGTAGTTAGGATAGACTATTGGACAGGACCTGAACAAATAAGGTTACCAGTACCTTGGGTCCAGTACCATGGGCGCCCGGCCAATCCTAGCGCTTCAATGCTGCATTGGGCGGGTCTCGCCAAGAAGAGCAGTGGGCCATAATAATAATAATAATAATTATTAAATAATAATGCATCACTGAAGGCTCATATTTCTCCATAGAATATGTCACAGTACTTCCATTTCACTGGACCTTAACGACTGGAAATCAGTCTTCTGTCCTCATGATGATGTCATTTGGGTGACGGTAGTGTTTGAATCAACCTCATAAAATTTGCTTCATTATCACTCTTTGACAAATAAAGAGACATATAAACGTCTCATCTTCTAATAATTCCTTGATCTCTACTATATATTTACAGCTTTTTACAACCCCCCCCCCCGCCAAAAATGCACAAGGAAGCAGGAAGTGAAAATCCACAGATGATTAAGCCTTGAGAGGAGAATGAATATACAGTGGCATGCAGCGCTGCATTAGAAGAGCCACTGAGTGTTCTCTTCTTCTTCTTATGAGAACAAAGAAATGAACCCAATGCCAAACTTCATCAATTACATGCGATTTCCATTTACCCCGAGAGATGTGGCTGAAAGCGAGTCCTCCGGGGAGACAGGGTGGTGAAGAGAAACTTAAATGCCCTTGAAAAGTAATTTTGGTAGGCAGGCCTGAGCCCAGTGCAGCAAGAAAGAATAAACTGAAATAATCATAAAAGGCGGACAAAGATCCAAGGCTTAATCTCTTCCCAGGCATATGCACATGCGTGCGCGCGCACACACACACACACACACACACACACACACACACACACACACACACAGAAAATAAACTTGCAAAGACAAAGTCCTTTACAAGGACAACTTGTGAAGCACCCAAAAAGCTCATTTGGTTAAAAAGTAAATGCATCTCTTTGGGTTTAAACACTTTTCACATTTCACTGTGAAGTGTCTGATGGAGCTGAAATGCCATGATGGTCTATAGAAACCACATGAACACAGGATAAAGCACTCGCCCACCACCACAGGGACCAGGGATCATAGCCTGCCCACTTTTCCTTCAGCTTGACCTCGAGCAGAGTCGCCATTGATTGTGGGTGGGAAGCCACTGTGGGATCGCGGCTGTGTCGCTGCAGTAAGGACTCCTACTGGTTGGTCGGCGTGGCTCTGCTTAAGGGGCTGGACCCACGGAGCATATCATGTGTGCCATGCCCTGTTCAGGGTAGGGGGCCATGGTGAGGAAATTGTCCCACCAGTTAGTAAACCCGTGACAACACCGGCGTTACCGATTCCACCGGACACTCAATATCTGTAGAGCGCTTACTGGGATCTCTAACATTGGGTCTGTGGGTCTGGTGTCTGGCGTCTGTGGGTCTGGTGTCCGTGAGTCTGGCGTCTGTGGGTCTGGTGTCTGTGGGTCTGGTGTCCATACCTGCAAACTCATGAGAGGTGAAAAAGGTAACAAGCTCGAAACCCTGTCGGGGGGGGGGGGGGGGGGGGGGGGGGTTGCTCCGGGAATTTTATCTTAAATATGAGGTTTAAAATGTAGCATTCTGAGAAGAAAATTAAGTGATAGGACATTTACTTTAAGCAAAAAACTAATATATTATTCAGTTATTAATCACTATTTCAGCTCTATTATTAATATGAACCTTTATTTAGACAAAATCCATAGAGACCGATGTCTCATTTTCAAAAGTTTTGGTCAAATAAAAACAAAGACAGCAAGAGTAGCGAGAACCATCGCCTGTACAAATAAAGTGATTCGTTTTCATTGAACCCTGTTACTGTATGACTTCATATTAACTTCCACTGTTACTGTACAGCTGTTAGAATTGTGGCCTATCTTATATTTGCAATTAATATGCATTCAATCCAGTTACATTATTTAAATTAAAATGATAATCTACTCTGGCTAAGGTAGTTTATCAAGAGTAAAATAATAGCTGTAATCTATACACACCTCTGCATTAGCAACCTGCTGAAATGAAGGTACAGGCACCTTAACACCCTCTCATTACTTCAGGGTTCTTGAGAGCAACGTGGGACTGTTGGGACTGTTAGTACACTGGCTGTGGTCATTACAGTGAACATGTCTGTCAGTGTGATGAGAGGGCATGTGAGCCCCTGTTGCTGTAGTTCATCTCCTCGGAGCAGAGGCTACATTTAGCATACCCTGCCTTATCAATGTATGTATGGGGGGGGGGCTGCATGTTTCATCACGTTACGTTTTTTTCCTTCTAAATCGCGATAATGAAGAACGTTAACAGTCCACAGAGTTCCGCATGCAGTGGACGTTAACTTAACCCAGCAAGTCTGAACGGTAACGGAACATAACGGAACTTAAACTGTAACGGAGGGAAATGAAGACGATGTAGACATCTTAACGCTGATTGGCCAAGACTCGACACGTCAAAGATGTTCTATTGCGAAGATCACGACATCACCTTTTCTCCTCCTCTCACTCCAATCTGAGAAATGCTGGCTGGCCAGTTGACCCCCCCCCCCCCCCCCGAAAAAAAAAACTCTACGGATCTACATGATTCACATGGATGATATATTTTTGATTCAAAACGGTGAATTTCACCGAAAGGTGACAGGTTTGCAGGTATGGGTGTCCGTGGGTCTGGTGTCCGTGGGTCTGGTGTCCGTGGGTCTGGTGTCTGGTGTCTGTGGGTCTAGTGTCTGTGGGTCTAGTGTCTGTGGCTATGGTATCTGTGGGTCTGGTGTCTGTGGGTCTAGTGTCTGTGGCTATGGTGTCTGTGGGTCTAGTGTCTGTGGCTATGGTATCTGTGGGTCTGGTGTCTGTGGGTCTAGTGTCTGTGGCTATGGTATCTGTGGGTCTGGTGTCTGTGGGTCTAGTGTCTGTGGCTATGGTATCTGTTGGTCTGGTGTCTGTGGGTCTGGTCTCTCCTCGCTGCTGGGCGGCAGGTTTCCACCTGGAGCTGCTGCCCCGCACACTCCTGCTGCAAATGCTCTGAGCTCTGCACACCTTCATACCAAAAGTTGCCAGTTTGCCTCATTAATGTAATCAGATTCCTTATTAGCCTTTGGTTTAAATCTGATATATTGCCAAGTAGGCACTTTTGCTTTTCGCTTTGACACCAATAGGCCACCATCTTCTTGTCCGTCAACTCTCTCACATCCTGTGTCAAGTGTGTTAAATGTGACAGCAGCAGGCAGCAGACAGACTCAGTCACTTCTCCTCTCTGTAACAGTACTCGGAATGTATTGTAAATGAATGCCAGTATTGATGTAGCGCGTTGACAATACTGTATCTGAATATAGCCATGCTAATAAAGCAGCAAGAATGAGTGGACCAGACACATGTAGAATACAACCACCACACTGTCACATGACTGATCATGAGAAGAGGATGATTTCCCATCAGGACTGAAGTGGACTGCAGTAGGAGTGTGTGATGTGTCCAGTGAGAGCACATGAGGACATGTGTGTCTGCTGCATCCGTGTCTGTCTCCCTCTCAACGACTGGGAGTGTCCCTCCCCAGCAGCTCTCTGCCTGCTGCAGACCACATGCTGGACTGAAGAGCCCAGAAGCTCCGCCCCCCGCTTCTGCCGCACAGAGCGCTACGTACATTTCGCATGTCCAAATTGCACCAAATTTGACAAAGCACTCCGTTGGATACCCAGCAACACACTAAGTGTGACGTAGATCAGATGAGCACTTCTCGAGATACGTGAAGAAGAGAAGAGATTCCTTGCTTTGTAGTTAGATGTAACATGACATGAAAAACCTGATGATGTTCCATGATAGAGGCTTCAGACCTGTCGCAGCATCCTTACCTTCCTCTTCTTGAAGGCCTGTCTGGACAGGTATCCCCTGCAGGCAGCCTGGAACAGAGAAATGTTCCTCCTGGTCTGAACGTCTCGCTGCTCCTCCAGTCTGGACAGAGTCCCCGCTCTGAAGAACACCTGCAGGAGGAGAGGGAGAGTTTAGGCAAAGCTAAGACACATGGTAAGTAGACTTCACACATAGATGTCACAGACAAATGCAAACAAATTTCAGTTACGTAGAAATAACGCTGCACCTGTCGATTATTTCAGTAATCCAGTATTCTAGCGATTATTCCATCGATTAATCAAGTAATCAGATGAAAAATACTTCTGCATTATTAGGGCACACCAGTAAATATACAAAAGAGAAAATTATAAAGAACAACAGCAAGCAGTAAAATGTATTTTAGCCACCTATTAAAGTGTCTATATCAGTTTAAGTGTACGCTATATATAGAATATTTTCTAACGGGAACTAAACTTAAAGTGAATCTATACTGTTTTAGTTAATGGAGTCTGGTAACTTTGACAGAGCATAGATACGTTTCACGTTCAGTTCAGCTCCCAGTCAGAAAGGGCTGTGTGACGGCAAGGTAAAGCAGTGAAAGTAGTCTAAAATAACTGATTGTTTTAAGTGTCTAAAATATGTCCACAGTAGTACATTGCTTTGCTCCCGTGCTGGTGCTCCTGTCTGCTTCTCCAAACTCTACTGTAGTAATACACTGACTATGGAGAAGTTCCTCATACTACCACACTTAAATACTGCACAGTGCATTCTTAAGTGCAACACACACGGACCATTTGACGCTCACACTGAACACGACATGCAGATAGGAGTCAGGATGTGCCGATGCAGGAAGTGAATAACATCAAATTGTTGCTTTTTTAAAGTTGACGTGCATCGACGGTGAGAATAAGAGTGGGGAGCATCTTGATGGTGTGCAGGCTTACATAGAAAACAAAGGCTAAGGTTTTTTGACATTACAGCTTGCCCCTCTGATGCTCACAGCTCTGGCACCGACAACTAGTATACTCTTGACCCTCCAGACTCGAGGAGTGCTTTGTCTACTGCCGTCCAGCGTGATCAACAACAAGCAGGAGCGATGCTCTGTAGTGCCTTAACATCTGAACTCCATGTATTTGGAATGGGAGGATGAGACTCCCCAGTGTTCTGACAGGGCTGCAGCCTGGTTGTGTTTTTGTGTCACAGCTAAAGCTAAAAGCTAAATCATTTAAAAATAGTTTAATTTTGACGAGAAGCCGCGCAGATACTGTGTCAAAAGAAGACCAAGAGGTGTCGAGGGCTCAGCAGTGTGTACGTCCTGTGTTGTTAATGTGTCTATCGTGTGTTTTCAAGAAATTTGGACTTTTGGACTGAACAAACTCATAGAATATGTATTCATAAGGGCATGGAAAGAAGGATGGACAAAGATACCGAGCGTGCGATCACTTTTCATGTCAACACACACAAAACAGATGATTTGTTTTCACCACAGTGACAGCGGAGGCCACTAAAAACACTGCGGCCATTGAAATTTACGATTAAAACATGAACATAACCATTTAGAAGAATTGAACTAAAGTGACGCGCTGTAGCCTGAAGTCAAACCTTCCTCCTGGTCTGCATGGACTGAAAGTAGTCACACGCAGCGTAATCACACGCAGCAAGGGAGATTGCTGCAGAGGCGGTTGTCATTGTTTTTTGCGTCTTTGCCTCAGACAGACAACTTCTCATGGCCGTTTTTATTTGGTTCTGATAGCTGAACCCGAGCTCTGCTCCACACCAGAGACTGGAATCACCAGACTGAAAGAGGGGTTTCCAGATTCTGCAAGAACTCGCTTCACTGGTAGGAAATCCATATCATGGAAATTTTGTCAAACCACTAGAAGCAAGCCCCTAATAAAAGCACAGACACTGATGGATGTGGAGATTATTCAGTGTGGCTTTGTAGCACAAAGGCAGTAAAACTGCCTGTGCCAAAGCACACTGTATATTATCCATCGGGCTTAATCATACTACTACTACTAATAATCAGGTTTATCCAAAAGTTTGACGCGCTTCTCCTCACACAGCGTTGCCAACAGCGGCATGAAAAATACATCAAAACGTGCGGCCTGATCGGGAATAGTGTGCAATCTATTTTTCGGAGAGATTCGCCAAGCGGTTTTCCCGAAAATCCCAGAAAACCCCGAAAAACGGAGCAAAATGAAGTTTGGCGCGCTTCTCCTCACACAGCGTTGCCAACAGCGGCGTGAAAAATACATCAAAACGTGCGGCCTGATCGGGAATAGTGTGCAATCTATTTTCCGGAGAGATTCGCCTAGCGGTTTTCCCGAAAATCCCCAAAAACTGAGCAAAATTTCTCCATTCACTTGAATGGGGTTCCGGCGTGAAGAGAGCTAAAAAAACACTTAACTTTGGGCCCATATTGCCGAGCCGTACATTAACGTAGAAACGTGATTCAAAGTTTAAAACGTAGACAAAACGCTGCACTTTATTGAGCCAAAGGGACATTTTCATAGCTAGCACAGTTTTCATGAAGTCACAGATTAAGTTTCAAGAAAATGTTGGGTCTGTTTCAGATTTTATAATGGGTGTGTATTGCACGGCTCGTTAAGAGCTAGAGTGAGAGCATAACTGTCAGAGTGGAGCGGAGCAGGAAAATATTCTGTGATTTTTCCAAACAAATTGCTCTAGCTCCCACAATTTTTACTCTTGAAACACCATTTTGGCCAAAAAGCTTGGAAATGTTGTGCTGGTCGCAGTAAAGTGTCTGTGGAATCCAACGGACTTACACATTTGGCTCAAAGAGCCACAGAGCGACATGAACTCCAACCAACTGCTCCATTAGACTCCATGTTAAATCTGACCACTCATTTCTCAAAGAAAGCAGACGGTACCAGTTTTGCATATTGCGCTGGAGCTCACATTTTTAAGACCACAAACATAAAAACACATCTCCGCGTTTGCCAGAGTCTTATCTCTCTCACGGTATCCATATTTTATTGATTAGTCTCATGGTTTTGGTATAGAGGGCATATGTTTGACAGGTAGTTTTGTTGAAAATCACTGTTCACTCTAATCTCTCTTAATTAGCCTCTAACACACAGGTGCTCCAATCACCAACATGCACCCAAGCACACAGGTGTTTATATGAGCTCATTAGTGATGTTGATAAACACACAGAGGCACTGAGACACACACGCACATACACTCCTCTCCCTCTCTCTCTCTGTGTGTGTCTCTCTCTCATACAGTCATTCAGGTCTTGGAGACTTTTAGAGGACCCCCCGCCCAATTTAAAATAAAAGCCTATAACTGTCTATCTGCCTGTCTCACTCTCCCACTCACTCAGTCCATCTAACTGTCTGTCTCTCTCAGCCTCTCTCTCCTCTCTGTGTCTCTCTCTATCATACAGTCATTCAGGTCTTAGATATTTTTAGAGGACTTTTCCCCCCTCACCCCATTTCAAATTAAAAGCCCCACAGAATGAATTCTAACTGGAATGCTTGTGATGAAGCCTCTCATTTTAGTGTCAAACATTATGATTCTGTCTCCTCTCCCCCTCTCTCACCCACCCAGTCCCACCCTTTCAAAATAAAAGCCCCACAAATACAAGATTCAATCCAAGAGTATGAATCTAAAATGCAGTAAAAAGAGTAGCGCTATCTCAATTGAACCTGAATGACACTACCGGTAACATTGGCGTGTGTATATATTGCGATTTCTTCGAGCAGTAGAAGCCACACTGTCAAAATTTCTTTAGGAATTTTGTAGTTAAGATTAGTATTGATGAATAATAATAGCCCATGTGTTGTGTTTAATGTGGTCGATGTCTGACAGCATCTCTCCTCTCATACACGTCTTTCTCTCTCTGATAACGTGTCCTCAGACAATCATTCTCTTACACATGACCAAATGAACGGCTTCTGCTGCTTACTGTTGACAAAATGACTCGTATGTGAGAGTTTCACTTCTCAAACGTTCTTTTTGGCGTAGTTACTCTCTAATGAGACCAGGGTGTAGGATTGGTAGGAAACGTCTGCTGCTCCTCGACATGCTGGGATGAGAAATGTTGTGAACATCAACACTGCAGCAAGAGTGAGTGGGAGTACAGCCCCTCATATCAGAACTATCAGAAGCTCGGGGTTGTGTTTAATGACTCGGAGGTATGCAGCACTAAGTTGAGCCAGAGGTAACTGAACATGTGGTAAACTGGCAGCCAGAGGTGTGAGGTTCACCTTTGCTGTGGTTGGAAAAAAAGTCCCTGGATCAAAAGGAATGTTAGCAGTAGGTGAAGTTAGCCAGGCTCAGCTTAAAGCATAAAGGTTTCTGCATAGAGGAAGCTGATGGCCCTGTGTAGGAAGAGCACTGCCACTCCCACAATTACATGAACATGATGGACTGTGATATTGATGTTTTAAATGCGTGCTTCGCTCACAAAACTCTGCATACCAAATCAAGCGCGACCTAAACTACCAGCCAGCCACCAGGAGGCGATTCAGATGTTTTGGCTTCAGGTTTGGGGAGCTGTCATGCCACTGCATGCACACCCTGCAGCAGCAGCCTGTGAAAACTGTTCCTGAATGTTACGGCTAAATTCCAGACTAGAAAAGTAAAATATAACAGAAATCAGAAGGGCAAAAAGAAAATGCACTGAATTCAGGTAAAGGAGAACCTTATTTTAAGTCGGATTTTGATCCAAAGATTTGTTAATGAGCAGGAATGTAGCACAAGGTAAAAGAGAAGTTGTGCTCTGTTGATTTAACCTTTTACCATTCCTGTAAGACTAGCCTTAAACAGCTATCCAAGGCAGGCCAAAAGTAAACTGAAAGCTGCTTTTGAACCATTTGGAGGACATCCATGGATCTGTTCTCTTTTAAAAAGCAATACTTAGTTTTTTTCGTCCATCAGTCAGAATCACTGCTCTGGCTCTGTCTTTACACAAAAGACTATTTACGTGCGAAGATTTGTAATTTAAATTTGAAAGTTCAATAAAAATATCTAGTGCCTAAAATCAATGAATAATCAAGACAAATAATTGTGATCTCAATACCGATCAAATAATCATTTTGGCCATAAATTCACCAGGTTACAAGGTTCACTCAGTGTGATTGTACTGTATCAATGCAGATTGTTTTCCCATTTTGCACACACAAAAAACAAACAAAAATCCCAAAAATATCATACAGCATGTGGAGGGAGGAGGATAGATTTAGAAGTCTCACAGCCAGAGGAAACAAGCTGCTCTGAAGTCTGGAGGTTCAGCAGCTGATACTTGTGTATCTCTTTCCAGATGACAGCAGGGTGAACAGCTTGTGTCTTCAGATATCCTTCAGCTCCTCACAGGCTCCTCTTGTCACCAATACCACTGATGCTCAGTAGATGGTACCAATGATGTTCTGGTTGGGTTAAATCACCCTCTGTAGAGCCTCCTGTCCTGAGCCATACACATCCCATGTTAGTTTGTAATGTTTCCAGTCAGGATGCTTTCTATTGCTCCTCTGTAAAAGTTAACAAGAACTTGGCACAGGAATCTGGCCTTCTTAAGTTTCCTCAAGAGATACGGACGTTTATTTTTTTAACCAGGATGGAGATAAGTGATGACCATGTCACGTTGTTTGTGATGCTGTTTCCCAGAAACTTTAAACTGTTCACTTGCTCCACCTCAGCTCCAAATGTTGTTAGATTTGTACAATCAGATTACTTATACGAGACAATAAGTAAAATTGGCAATTTTAGATGTTTTACTTTCAATTTCCTTTTGTTCTTGTGCAAATTCTTTTATTAGACATTTAACATTTGAGAACATCAACTTCTTTGTTAACGTATCTCAAAAATGCATTTTGCAGAGATATTTTACAAACAAAAAAAATCGTCAGTATGGAAACTCAAGTGTCATACTGGAACTAATATCTAAACATTTCAAATGATAGCCAGGTCCCGTAAGGAGGCTGGTATTTTGTTGTATACATGACGATTAGTGAAGAAGTGACTGCTGTGGGCAGATGAAGTGAAGCCAGCCGGGGAGGAGATAACACATCTGGGTAACATGAACGCTGCGCTCCTTGGAGGCCCTTTAGTCAGTGCGGGGATGCTTTAATGATATCAGGCAGAGAGCCACGTACAAGTTGGCAGTGAACCACAGGGGCAGTTTGGCAGTGAGAGGTGGCTCATCTGGCAGCCTGGAGGAGATGCAGCCACCTGCACAGTCCTCACTGCATGTGTCATCATGGGTGACACTTTCCTTTTGGGTGATAATCATTCTCACAACAAAGCTACGGTATTACACTGTTGTGTTATTCTTTCCAGCTAAATAAAGGTGCATGTGGAAGAGTGCAAACCTTTTTGACCACAGGGAAAATGTAGTTTTTCAAAAACTAAATGCCAACAAATTTGTATTGAAGCAGAACATTTCATTAGATAAGAACAGGGAACATTCTTTTTCAATAAATTGCATTTAAATCTATCTTTCTTTTTTTGGATGAAAATTTTGTACAATTTAGTTTTCTTAAAGCAATATCGTCAGTTTGGGAATTTTAATATTGCCAAACCCTATTAACGGCAATGTAAACTGGATAACACCATGTAACCTTCATCTACTGTAGGAAAAGATGTGGACGGATGCACAAGTAATGTAATGCTGTTGTATTAATCATAGCTATTCTCCACTTTGATGCAGCTCATCTATTCATTATTCAAAATGATTCCCACACTGCATGAGGTACACAGTATAATTAGATAGAGTAAGTGGCCCAGTGTGTGGGCTGGTTGGACCTGTGTGTGTCTCGTCAGCCAGTTAAACTAATGTGAAACAACAGGCATTAGTAATATTACCAACACCACGGAACAAAAAAGTTCGGAATTGAAACTTTTTTCTGAACTTGGGAGAAGTAGCGGGCCAAATATAGACTGACACACACCAACACTAAGGCAAGGTTAAACTCTGCAATATCTGCCAAGAAACTTCTCTAATTGACAGCTCAAGGCGCTCACTGTTCTTTATTCCACAGACATTCACAGATCTAATTAACAAAACCATCAGCCTGTCTTTTTCCGTGAGATTAGCTGTTTTTTTTTTATCTCAAAGAGTTGGAGTCTGGCAGTGTCTGACTGCTGCTTGGCAAGGGTCACAGATACAGAGAGCCCTCCCCAGAACAACAGAACGCAGCAGGACTACTGAAGGTGAGAATGGAAGACTCGTCACCGCACAGGGACAAAACAGCTCTGACTTCTCCATGCACACATTATGCTAGAAAGATAGCTGAGTAGAATGGAAAACACTTTGTAATTGTCTAATTGAGGGTGTCACAGAGTGAAAAGACGTTGGGACTCGAAGCCCAGACTCCTTGATGGCAACATAAAAGATGCAACTGCCAGAAATGTTTGGTCAGTGCGAGCTGCCACAGCTAGAACCTGATTTGATGTGACGGGTGGAGTAGTTCACGTCAGTTTAAGGGCTTCCTGCAAAGAAGCTGGCAACTGCTTCAAAGTAATAACGGCAATAGAAAGTGTTGTTTTCTGAAAATAAATGAAAAACATACACTGTGTGTGGGGTGGACAGACTCTGTGGATGCTGATTGGTAAATGTAAGGGCAAAATGGTCTCAGCTGTAAGTTTGTACCCGTATGCTTTTCTAGGGTTGAAGGTTACGGTTCTAAAAATGATTCAACTAGGGTAGAAGTTGAAGCTAGCGAAGTGAAAAGACTCAATGAAAACCAGCATTCAAATAATTGCCAGCATAAACATAAAAAGGCCGGTTCCTAATAAAGAACATTGAGGTGGAATTGCATAGATGATATTCCACCAGTACTACATGTCATGCATACTACTCTGCTGCTTTCTTTTGGTCAACAGAAATACTGTAGACTACTTTAGAATACTTTTTATTCACTACTTAATTTCAGTTCATACTCAACACTTCCTGCACATGTTTCATATTGAAAGCCGAGCATGAAAGTGAGGTATTATGCCCGTTATGAATTGTGTGCTGCATTCAGCCTCTGTCTTTCCCTTTTTCCCCTTTCTTTCTCTGTGCTTCATCACAAGGTTGTAGAACAAACGAAAACGTGCAAACGTATATGCTGGCATAGGTCTGGTTTTCTCTCATTGTGGTGATATGAATGTCTTTTATGGTGCTGGTAGGTTATGGTGGAACTCCTATCATCCAGTCCACGGAGGAGAGACTGTACAAGAGGGCAGTTACTACCAGTTAATTGATCTGATGTATTGATCTCAGCATGTCCTTGTGTTAAAAATTGTTATCAATATTAAATGTATTTATTTATAGATGTACAGACGTATGAATCTGTGCAGGGAGTTTCACTGACCATATCTTAACACAGAAGGCAAAGTAGATACGATTGTAAGGCCATCAGAAAAACAGCATCAACAGAACATGACAAGCAAAGCAGTACAGAAAACAGGGAGATGTCTTCAGACCATATGATATAAAATATACTTATAGTAACAAGCCTTTCAAATGAAGGCTTCACTCTGCAGTTCATTAGAGCACCGGCAGCGCTATGGAAGCAGCCCTTACATGAAGAACGGAATGAAGTGTGCATGCTTGTGACTCCACTCACCCTGCTCAGCCCCATGTGGTAGCTGCTCTTCTCCAGCTCCAAGGACTCCAGCAGCTCCTCCACTGCCTGCAAACAGCAGAACAAGCAGTCAGCAGACAGACGGACACAATCAAGCCCCTTTGTTCCTGCCTTACCTCCAAGCCAACAGGAGAACAAGGGCCACGTTAGAAACGCTCGTGTATTTTGAAAGCAATCCATCACACTGTTTTTGACCAACTCAGAAGCTCATTCAGTTCCAGCAGCAGTCAGATCTTTTGAACGCTCAATTTTAGATGTGGTTTATAGATGTAGCATCTTTCTGCTGTCTATCATGTGCCATCATGTTATTCATTTGTTGTACTGTGTTTTCTATTTGTTGTGTACTATGAATATTATGTCTATCTTTTGTGGTCTGCATGAGTTGATTTGGTGGCAAATCATCTCCTCTCAAAGTTGGGCATTTTAAAAGGTAGAATCTCACAAACACTGTCAAGGAGCTTAATGAGATGTGAAGCATCTCATTAATAAAAGTCTGGATATCCGACTAATAAAAGTCTGGATATCTCATCTCTGCTGCTTTGGTTTTTTGTGCAGCATTTTACCGACTCCTGTGAGTCTGTTGTTGAGAGATCTCACTCTGTTCAAGGTTTTATAACAGTAAGACTTAATAATACTACTTATGGAACTTTACATGTCAGGTTCCACAGAGGCTTGAGCCTCTAAGGGACAGGACGCTGACGGGAGTGTTGGAAAACGTGGTGGATTTCCTCTCTGCTGTTTGCCTGGTTGGTCTGAAAAGCTCTTGGCAGGTACACCATCTGGCGGCTAACATCATGGCTACATCACACTCTATTAAGAGGAACTGACAGAACTGGGCCGTGAGCAGCAGAAAGACAGGGTTCTCTCAGACGGGCTCAGCTTACCAAAATGCTCTTTCTCTGAAAACCAATTCTTTCATATTATTCCTCCAATTATACGCCCTCCTCCGTCTCAGACCGCCCCCTTGCTTTCTTTCTTCTCCACTGTTGGGCCCCCACTCCGCAGAGCACTGGCTACCCCCACTGACAGTTAGTTCTTTCTGACTGGGCTGTCCTCTCTAAGCTCATCTCCGATCTCGTGAGCCACTTTACTGCCAGTGTTTTGCTAAAGAGAGGAGAGCTCGATTTCACTGATCTGCTTAATGAATCCAGTTAAATCTTCTCTGTTCTCTGCTATTCATTTCAATGTACTTTGTGTACTCCACTTTTAACCGACATGCACAAACAGGCAGAAATTCAGCAAATCAGGTGTTTAGAGTCACAAACAACTGAAAAAAAAACCCAAATCATTCTTTACCTTCTAAGACAAGATACTTTTGCACAGCAGGTGCAGAAGGCCTTAATGTAGAGATGTTTTCCTCCAGCAGCCCCACCTCCCACTCATAAAGGCTACTCGGGCTGCTATAAACTGCCTGAGCAGAATGTAGAGAAGGCATTAATCATACTCAGGGATGTTTCTAAACTGTTCTGCCTCCTATACAAAGGAATGGAAAGATAATGAGACAAGAAAAGAAAGTGGAAGGAGACAAGGGAATGGGAGAGAGAGAGAGAGAGAGAGAGAGAGAGAGAGAGAGAGAGAGAGAGAGAAGGAAAGACAGAGCTCTTCCACTGCCGGTAATTAATCAGTACAGTAGCCGTATGCTGCCAGCCTGTGCAATCATAATTAATTACACACAAGAGCGCTCTTGGAACAGGAAGAGGACAGCGGAGAGAGGAGAGCGGGAGGAATAAAGGGATTCTGTTCACACAGGGAGATTAGAATGTAGAGGGCAAGCTGAGGAATACTTTATCTCCAGACTTTAGAGTTTCAACCTTCTACCGATCTGACATCATCACGGTTATGTTTATTATTGGAGATCAGAGCCACAGAAGACATTGTTTTTACAGGCTAAGAAATATTAGCCATGGCCAGTAAGTTGACCTCTTTAAATCTGACCGTTTTCATGAAAATTAACTTCCTAATTATTACAGGAACACATTAATGCTTCTTAAGGATCCTTTAGGGCATTTTAACCAACTGAGAACATTTCCCAAGAAATGTGATTCATCATCAAAATCAACATACAGTGAAACTGTGTCACGTTTTTTTACTAAAAACCTTTGAGCTGGATTTAAGGTCCTCATGCATCCTTGTTGTGTTTTCTGTGAGAACAAACTGCAGAGAAAATGGTGTTTTCAGAATCCTATTCAGACAAGATTTTACATTATTTATCAGCTTTGTTCAGCTCTCAGCTGCTAAAAGAACAAGCTCTGCTTCTATGGGAGGATTAACACTAACAGAACCGCCACGAGGACTGAACAAGTCATTCACGTACCTCCTGCACAATAGCTGCATGGATGATTCACACTAGAATGGTGCAAGTTTTAAAATAACTACAAATCACTCACCTCAGTAATATACAGACAAGCTGTGCACGATTGACCATTTGCTTACATTTCTTTTCATGTTCGATTTCTTTATTTGTTTGTTCAATTTGTTGCATTGTTTTCATCTTTCTAATTTTTGTGGGAATTTGACTGGAATATTCTTCTGTGAGTGTCTGTTGCTGTAAATAGAAATACAGAGTGAACACATTGGAATAAAAAATATATTCAGCACATAGATCCCCAATGGGTAGAGTAACAAAGCATCTGTCATTTAGAAACGGTCATTTGTCTGTTGCTAAAGATGCCATGGTATGTTACATGGCAGATGTAGGTGAATAGGTCAATAGGGTCATGCAGAAGGTACCAAGAGTCCTCCATGTACTGGACATATGCAGTATATGTAGCGTTATGCTTTATATCTTTTCATGTGCAGACCTAAAACAGAAGTATTGTGTGTATCAAAGCCTGATATCTCTTCTTCCTCTTTCCCTTCTTTACTTGAGCATGCACACGCGCACACACACACACACATTTAATCAATCCCACATGGGGGGTGAAATGCTACATTGCTTGTCAGCAGCCGGTCATATGGTAACTTAGGAGGCAGTTTGGTCTTGTGTGCTCTGATTCATTTTGCAAAACTTGTTTGAATGAAAGCTCAGCTCCTGTTACTTGCTCCTGGTGTTCTGTGTTTTGGAGCAAGAAAACAACGGGAGTAACAGGCAGACCAGCTATAAAAGTGACAGTTTATTTTTAAATTCAAGTGCTGTGCAGTGGATGAAAAAGTAACTGATAAATATTAGGAAAAGTATCCCATACATATTTAAAGGAAGCTTAAACCAACTTAATAGTGTTAGTTTGAGAACATAAATTGGTGTGGTGTTTTGTTACCTGCTGGGGCAAAATGAGTGTGTTTCACTGTCAGTAAACTAACATGAATAAGAATTGTAATAAGACTGTAGATTGTAAGCCTGCCTGAAAAACATCTTGATAGATTTTTGCCATACTACCTCCCCTTCCCACATATGCCCCAAATACTTACCACCAAATGTGGATGAATCCACTGCTGTAAATAGTCCGAAATAAATACACTCTTGCCTCCTGTTTGGGTAAGATTTGATAAAAACTACAGTGACCTGCTGTTTCCTCCTGAAGATGTATTCTTCAGCAGGAAAGAAAGAGCTCAGAGCCACTGACAAGGTAGAGGGACTGGCTAGCACTTATCGGTTTTAGTCTTTTTGTTGACTAAATTATTATTAAAAATATAATAAATTTAAAAATTTAAAAAACTACAACGACCAAATCATACTTGTGTGTAAAGCCTTTTAACATCTTAGTTTCCATCATATGAACAGTCACTACCCATCCACACAGCCAAACACTCACCCTCTTCTCATCTGTGACAATGTAGTGGCGGCCATGCTTCTTGGTCAGATGTGGTGCCAGGACATCAAAGCGCCTGCGGAACTCAGAAAACACCATGTGGTCTGGGTACCCTGGAGGCAGGGAGAGAGCAGAGCAGAGAGGACAGCACAGAAACATGAAACACTGAGGTTAGAGGAGCGTCTGCAGCATGTGGAGAGCCAACAACGTGTCAATGGGCAACTATTATTTATAGGAAATATACAACCAAAAAAAAAACACTTCAACAGACTTAATAGCAAAGAAATGTGGTAAAGGTGGAAATGAGCTCAAGCTTTTAGAGAAGCACGAACAGTTAGAACCATATAAAGGATGTAAAAGTATACACTTTTGAATGAAGGCTTCATTTGTCCTCAGCAATGGTCAGGTTATCAGAATCCTTTCAGATACTCTGCCGAAGTTAAATTCTTCACTGGATTAACATGATTACATTACTATAACGTCTGTGTCTGTTAGAATGCACCAGAGTTTTAAGGACTACTCTACCCTAACCCTTTTAAAACATAGGCCACTATCCTTTATGTCACAGCACTGATCCTGTGATGTTCACCGCAGTGATTTAGTATTATACTTCAATAAAGTTGGGAGATTCGTAAGAGACGATAGTCAAAATCAAACTAACAGAGGTCCTACTATTCTGACTTTTAACGCCGAGTAAGACAGTAAGTTTTATTTCTATATCTCCTTTCATTACCATAACACAACGATTCAGAGCTGTACACATAATACATGTGTGATAAGGTGTTGAAAGATCAGAAATACAAACCAAAGTTTTCCAATCAAAGATGGGGAGAGAAACTTTACTTTTATAAGAATTATAAGAAGTCAAACAGAATCCAGTTTTTGATGGCAGACATTCAGGATAAGATGACACATACAACTGTGTGTCATCGGCATAACAATGGTTGAAATGACCTACAACAGCAAAAGGTAGGCAGATACAAACTGAATAAAACCGGGCCAAATAGTGAGCCCTGTGGTCCCCCACAAGTCATAAGAGTCCAGAATAAAGAAAGTTACCAACAGATACTCTATTCCATGGGTGGGATGAAAATCAATTCACAGCAGTTCAGTCAGCCCACACCTCTAGTATTGGTCAAGCTACAAGATTCATCAGATCCTATATTTCCCATCATGCAACATAACACGTCTATTCATTCGACCTTACTGCCTGTAAAGATGAATATATGTTGTATTGTATACCAAAGGTTTGTTACACAGGTCCCATCCCAGATTACTGACATCACTATGACATCATTATTTTCTCTGACATGAAAAGTAGCAGAAAACTGTTTTCATAGAATAAGTAGTATTCCTCAGTTAACTCACAATTTTCATATAAAATAGATGGAATTCTTATTTCATTCATATTGAAGTTTTCAAAAGTACTTTATTACCTTGCCTGTAGATGCGTAGTGCATCCAGCAGTTTGGAGCCTCGGAGCTGAGCTCTCAGGAGGCTCACGTCCAAAGTCATGAGGCCCGAGTCCGGGCTCTCTCCATGCGTCACACGGGGCTCACCTCCACCACCCACTGCCTCTGCTTTGGGCAGCAGGCAGTGGACGAAGTGAACCCTGGAACGACGCACCATATCAATGAGAGCATCCTAAAGACACAGAGGAGGGGGCTCAGATATCAGCTTCTGCTTGGTGATAGAACAACAGCTTCATGTTCCTTCTCGTAGCTTCATAATGTATTTTAATGAATGAAGTACAAGTTTGAATCCCGATCTGCTCCACTTACCACCTGGAGTTTGACCTGGATACACAGGCTCTTCTTCTTGACGGCGGCCACGCCTGTGGTGAAGGTCTTCCTCATGCTGGTGGCTCGTCGCAGGGCAAGCTGGGAGCTGCCCTCCAGACCAGCGATGGAGCCGGACAACACCGTGGCCCCGCTAGCCCGGCCCATAAACAGCCCACTGATGTTCTTCCTGTGGTGGCGGAGGGATGAAGTGCATTTGTATGCATGTACGTGCACATGATAGCTGAATACATTTCTATTTTTCAAACAAATGATCTGAAGTGTCTGTTTTGCTTTGAGGAATTGAAGCCGTACAATTGACATCAGAAGAAATGCTGAAAATGCTTGTGAATTCAAAAGAAAAGCATATAAAGGGACAAGTAAGTTAAAATGACAGACGCTGAGGTGAGGAATTCAATCAATGCTAAGATGACTTGGATGTTTATAGTTTAGCTTTATCATTTTTAATAAACGTGTGAAACTGATTATAAATCTCCAAGCTATTTATCGTCTAAGTTGGAAAGAGTATCTAAGTTTATGAATGTATTAAAGTTCTACATATTATCTACGTGAATATAGAGGAGTAATGTCTTTCAGTGCATGTTAGTGCATGTGAAGATTAGTTTAACATTAGTTGTTAAAATGAGAAATACTGAATTATGGTTTACAAATAATTCCATTCAGCTCCATTGTATCAGGGTGAAAGCAGAAATCTCAGAGACGGATATCTCAAAACCTGGAAAGATATAACCACACGTATCTGCATGGATAGATACCACTACAGTAGAATGAAAGTGTTTTCTTTTTGTAATTTGGCTGAACTCCTCGAATTATTTACTGCCGTTACTCTTAAATACACAAGTAATTTCTCAAATAAAGATGGTTATGACAGGGCTTCAGTGTCGTCTGGAGCACAGAGAGAGTTTGGTTTCCCTCTTTCAGTTAGCTCCATTTAAAGAGATAACAAAAACACATTTGAACACATGGATTTGCAGCATATAAACAGAACAGCACTGACTACTAATCCCCACAAACTCTAAAAAGTGGATGTTGCATGTGTGTGAGTGGTCGTACTTCTGGGAGTCCTGCAGCAGAGTGGCAGCGTTCTGGGCGGCAGGGTTGTGCTTGGCGTGGCTCAACCAGCCCTGAGCGTTGTACTCCACCCAGTCTGTCCCGTGGCTGTGGCCCAACAGGAAGAGGTGGGGCTTCTCTCCTCGCAGCAGCAGACCGGCTCCTGCAACACACAGGAAACATTCCCTCCACGAGGTCAGGAGTATGATCGGGCTGTCTGTTGTTACAGGAGCCTACTGTTGAGGTCTCACCTTTGTTCTCTCCCTGTGCAGAGCCGTAGTAGCTGAAGAGTCTCTCCAGCATGGTTTCCTCTGATCCTCCAGGCTGAACAGCCTCCTCCTCCATCAGCCACAGGAGGCCTCGAGCCTCATCCGTCCTGGCCAGAGTCCGGACCTGTGACGGAAAGTAACACTCAGAGATGTGCCCTGTTTGTTCCTTCAAAAACACTTTGACCTTAAGATCATGAGACAATGTGCAGGTCCAAAATAGATATTACATTGTGTCATACATTTAAATAAAATGCTTTTTGCTCAAAAAACAAGAAAATAGATTAAAACCAACACTACAAGTCGACATTATATTTCACCGTTTATTCTTTTTCTGCCTTTTAAGATGGTGACATTGGGCCCTGACCAATCAGAGCTCTGAGGGGAGAGGGAGACTCTGCTCGAGAGAGATAGTGAGTTTTGTTGGTTACTGTTGTCACTTGTTATGGATTGCACTGATGGCTCTTTTTTACTCAGTTTCTGGGGGAAGATATGTGACCAAAAATATTTCTCTCGTTTTCAAAAGTTAATAAATAAACATTGATATTTTTTTTACTACATTCATTTGTTTACTTATTTGCTTTGTTTACAATTTGAAATTTCGAAAAGCCCCCAAAAAGTTGAAGATGGTATCACTGAACGTATAATGAACGCATCATTGACGTATTAACAGGAAGTTAGCATCGCACTAGTTCCCTCCACAAAAAGCTAATGGGATGTTTCCATTGGATTGTAGCGGACCTACACAGAGATTACAAACTGAAATGTCTATGATACAATCTGAACTAGTAAACGTCTTTTAGGAACTACTCTCACGACCCATAGGGCACTAAGTGGTCAGACTCACAGTTGACCATGTGCCTGGACAAACTCTAGATGGGACTTTAGGTCAACCATGGCACTGGAACAGTTACGGCTGACCCTACAATGTTTTATGACCCCACCTTTGTAGTTTTTACGATCGTTCACATTTCTGAGGACATAGAGAGCATCCAAACGTAATACACAACTTAAAGAAAACTTTATTTGATATTCTAGGCCTAGTCGTAGTAAGTCCCTGAATTTAATATATATTAAAACATCTGAGTTCATAAAAGTTATGTATAGTTAATTTCATGATAGTCAACTCTGTTAACAACTCTTTGTAGTTTCCTGTCATATAAACTGGATGTTTTAGTTGCTCACCCTGAAACGTTATCTAATTCACGTTCCCCCCCGTCCTTTGTGTCTCGCACCCAGTTTAATCCTATCCATTCATTTATTATGCATATAGGTACACATGTACATCTACATATATCTATCATTGTCATGATAACAATGTCCATCTATGTGGTGTAATTATTTGATTCATTAAATCTTTAATTAATCAGGCTCTATTCAGTGATTTATATGAACCGTTTGACATCTTTCTGCAGATAAGATAGCACAGTGGTCAAATATTGAAGAATTAAATAGATCATGGAAGTAACGAGTATTAATTTGATCAAATAAATGAAATAATCAAGATAGTTGTTCAGATGGGAGTGGTTTTGCTGTTCCTGCCATAAAACTGCTCAAGAAGAAAAGTCAACGAGAGGACTTCTCTCTCTTCTCTGCTCTTCACTTCGACTCTGGACGTTGCAATTGAAAAGTGAAGGCATGTGTTCAGCCATTTCAAACAACAGCTGCACTTCAAAATGCGTTAGGGCTTCAACGGTCTTGAACTTTATTGACCTATCAATGCACCTTGGAGTCCTCCCTACACGGCTGTGCCTCTTCTTCTTGTCTCCTCTTCTTTCCTACAGCAATCAGAACTCTTAGCCCCCCCGACCTGTATCGCTCAGCAGGCACCGGACTGAACTGAGCTCAAACTGGACTTGTTTGCACTGGTACAACAATCATTGCACTTCAGCTACAATGCTGTACCTAAACAATTACTACCAACACTGTCGTGAGGCAAGAATAAAGTAACTTCATCTTTGTTGCTGATGCTGCTAATATGATGTTTCATCAGAGCTTAAACTGTGATTTCCACTTCCACACACGTACACGGCGGCATGTTAACCTTTGATTTTTGCAATCAACTTCAAAACAAATCTATTCCCAGGCATTTAGAAACACGTGTTAATGCTACTTGCTCAAGCCAATACACGTCAATGCTGCAGATTGTCTGCCAAGGGCAGGTGCCACACATATTTTCACCACTAACAATTTGAATGGGCTTCGCATTTAGAGGCCAACTGATGAGTAGAGAGAGAGGGACCCTCTCAAGCCAACAAGAGGGAAACAAATCACAAACTTGTATCCAATTAATTTTCTGACGTGGGACGAATTCCAAAAGGAAATGGAGCAAATTAGAAAAAAATGAGACACAATCACAAAGGGCCAAACTAATTGGATGGAAGCAACAGGCCTGGCAAAGCATACAAATGTGCCCGGTCTGCTTTTGTCATTATTTAAGGCTAAACATTTCATTTGGCACAATGTCAGGAAGTGTAAACAGCAAACAGCTGGCAGGTGAACAGTGAAATAACATGTTTTGTAGAGCCCATCCCTTTTACTCAGGGCAGGTTACAACACAATGACGTCACATGCACAGAGAGAGATGCCTGAAACAGACACAGTGGAGTGATGCTTCTTGTGCTTACCAGAGCTTGGCTTGAGGCGTGGTCAATAGCTGCTACAGACAGTGAGGTACTGGACTCTATGTCATCTAAAGCAAGCTCTATGTTTTCCTAGATGCAGGAGGGATAAAGGCTTAGGTTAGTAACCTACAGGAGATGAGATCATCAATGAATCAACAGGTGGATTATGAAATGAGCCATTACTGGACTGGATTGGGTGAGTGTACATTTGATTGAAATAAGCGCAATGCTTCTAAAATATTTCTTATTTGATTTTGCAAAGCAATATAATGAAGCTGATTTGTCTTTGAATGTGTCTTTATCTATCCATGCAGATAGTTTCATGATATCTGTCTCTGAGATATCGGCTTCCACCCAAAACAATGGAGATGCATGGAATCCAGGATAACCCCAAGACTCCGATGTGAACAGTCTTCATTGGAACTACTACCAAACTGTTGAATGCAGTGGCTGCGATCAAATAGTAAAAAAAAAAAAAAAGCCGTCCTATGTCTTTTCCTAACCCCTTCTCCCCTTGTGAAGAGAACCACAGTGCTCAGAGAATCCAACAATTTTTGGTGTTTTTTAGCAACTTTAACAAATGTGAACCACAGGACATGAGTAGGCTACAGTGACATCAAGATTGCCACTTAATGCTTCCGGGTCATTTAACTCAGTTAGGAACCTTCCTAAGCAATAAGACTCTCTGACTGCAGCCGATGTGTTCTGTGGATTGTCTAGAGCTGCTAAATGTCATTTTCCAATGCCATGCACACCAATCCATTTCCATTGGCCTCCACCGTATCGGAGTCTATTGGCATCTCAAAACACAAACTATCTGCTTGGGTAGATGTCACTAGAGCTGAGAAAGTAAATAAAAAGAACATATATCATTTTTTTTACCATTGACTTCATTTAACTGGGAATATTTTCACTTAAGACAGAGAAAATCGAATGTGTTAATATGTGTATGTTCTGTCCATGCTTAGTGTTGAGCTCTGTCGGCCCAGCAGCACCTCCTTGTATCTCTCCAGCTCCTGGACGAAGGTGCGTTCATGGAACAGGGTTTGCAGCCTCTCCTGGGTGTAGTTGTGGCAGAGCTCCTCAAACGTGGCTCCCCGCTGCTGCTGAGCCAGCCGAGGGTTCTGGAAACCCGGAGTGTCCACGATCAGCAGGGAGCACAGAGAGTGCTGACTGGACTTCAGAGCCCTGAGGGACACACACATATCATGAAGCTTTAGTGATGAAGCTTTGACACTGGGAAGCTGCTGATTTATCCAAAGACATTCAATTTACAATGATATAATACAGAGAAACAGGTTCAGCTTTAACCATAGACTGTGTATGAGAAGTGGACGTAGTCTTCATGACGTCACCCATTGGTTTGTGGACTGTCGCTTTGAAGCTGACCTTGAAATTGCTGATCATATAAAAGAACAAAGTCTACGGTGGCCCGGAGGGTCGAAACAAAACGACATTTACGAAAATGTTGTGTTTTTGAAATGTTGTGTTTTGAACCTCCGGACCACCATTAAAGACACCTGTACACTGTTACATCTTCTTGTTTCAGAGTGTCGGTTTGAATCTGCTCACTTTTCAAGAAGGAAATGTTGCAGAGTATTTTTACCGTCACACGAGAAGTAAACTCCCACAGTTAGAACTGATATCTGTGAGTAACACTGTGTGTGCAGGTTTTACAAAAGAACTGCAGCTGACCATTTTGAGACAAATCTGTACAATATGAATGAAAGAACAAATAGTTTCACAGCCACCCGTACAACACTGGCAGGACCAATGGTTTACTGCAAAGAGGAAGATTCAAACAATAGGGCCGTGCTGCAGACTGTGTGTATACCATACACAGTTTTTAAAGCAGTACATGCTAACCTTATTAAAGCTTTAACAAACATTTCAGATTTTTGGTAAAATCTGAAATGTGCAACCAAATGTTGTCGCTTTGAATTAGAAAAAAGGATGAAAGGAAATCACTAGAGTTCTTCTGAAGGGAATTGACATACCAGTTGAAGCTTTCAATAGATGTGTAAGCTCTGAAAGGAGCTGAAGTGGAACAATGTTCAGACTGCGGCCAAATCTCAAATCACATACATCAGACAGACTGTCCTCACTGTTATTTGCAAGTGTTCACATCGTATTTGTGTGTACCAGACATCAACAGCCTATCTACATGGGTTGCTGTGGTAAAACATATGCGTCAGTAACTACGTGGCTACACTGGTGATGCAGCTTTCAAACACAGAAGCATTCGTCCTCGAAACAATGGCGCTGTTAAGAACTCTTCTGTTGCACCAAACAATCTGGAAACAACGAAATCTAAACTTACGCATCGGCCGACACCGAGTACCGATCTGATACCAGTGAGTTCAAAACTAGTTTCGTTTTTTAGAGAAAGAGACTTCGAGTCAGAACTGTTTTTAATAATTATCATGAATGATTTTTGAAAAAGAACTCCAAATAGGATCAAAATAATGAAATAACATATTTGGAATATTCTTGCCTGTTAATTAGGGAGATGACAAGAGTGAAGAGCTCCGAGTAGAGTCCGGATGCCATGGCCTCCAAACACTCCAGAGCTGTGACCTTAGAGCCTGAGAGACAAGAGATCAGAGATTAGAGTCAACAAGAACCAGATGAAGGACCTGACAGTCTACAGCTGATACCCTCTGCTCAGGGTCAGTGCAGGTGTTTCAGAGGACGTTTCTCCAAGAACTTGTGCTTTTATTTGAAACCTAGGAAACAATCCTAGAAAACAACCACCTAGGGATGACTATCAAACCTCAACTATTTTTGGGTATAGACCTAAATGTGTTTAGTACTTAGAAATGTCAATTACCAAAAGCTGGCATCAAAAGTCATATTCTTAGTTTGTTGTTTAACTAAAGATTTCCAGATTGAAATCATCATTTGAGACTATATCTTATCCCACACACAAACAAGTCAGTATGAATCAATGGTACAGTACATATGATCCTAATTAAAGTGCACTTCTCCAAACTGTTCATCATATCAGGGGGAGGACAACCACAACTGAACCAATCAGATTTTCTGTTAAAAGCCAACCGGATCTTACAAAGAGAGTTCCTACCTGAGCTGTCCCCTTGGCCGGCCTCGTCCGGTCCTCCTCTGAAGGAAGTGGAGTGCTGCAGTCCTTTAGCCTGGTGCTTAAAGATAGAAGAGGACAGCTCCTCCAGGGTGCAGCCCAGCAGGTAGGCCGCCTTCTGGGCCCATTCGTGACGGGCAAACTGCCTCCGACCCGCTGAAACGAAAGTCAAAACATGTTTGAAATAGAAAAAGATATGCAACATGGACCTGAAGAGGAAAGTTCATGAAGATACCAGCTGCAGAAAGATGAAGAGGGCAGAGGAAGAACAAGGTACAAAGGATGGTTCAATGTGAGGTTTCTGTCAGCTGCTTAGTGCTTGTATCTTTGTAAGCTAGAACTAACCGTATCAACTGTAGGCTCAGTCTTTAACCCAGAAAGGGTTAAAGACTGTGTGCTGACAGAAGTGGAGTGGGGAAACCACTGTGGGACTAATGTTACAGCTGACAGCTGAGGTGTTAAGAGTCATACTTGATGTGGACTTTTTTCCATCAACAGAACATTTTATTATTTTTCTAACTGTAAACACAACAGGCCTGGTTCAGAAGTTCGTGCTGTGCATCACAATGCCATCAGATGGCATCCATGTATAGAGCAGCGTACTACAAATGACAGACTGACAGGCAATGAGGAAGGATTTCATTCTCACTACATGGAACTAACTAACGTTTAGTCCATGGTAACACATGACACCTACATTTGTTTTAACTACAGCCAGTTTAACCATGCTGCCCATTGAAAGTGGCAGAAAACTAGAGAAAAATGAAATGGCACTCATAATGTAATGACAGTGAAATAATTGTAATAACAGCTGGAGGCGATGGCCCTGGAGGTAATGCCAATTGGTTGGATTCAATTGAAATTTCTAATTTTCTAAAGAGTTATTTTATACCGAAATGTGCTCAAGAATTAAACATAAGTAATAAAAGTCAAATTAAAATGCATCATTTCAATGATCAGTTAGGTTTGAATATCACCACACTAACCAGGACACATCAGGTAGAGACAAACTAATGTTCCCTTGGATGCAGAGACACAAAACAGATGGCTTTGTAAAAAGAAAAGTGATATTTCTTTTCCTTACATGTATTTGGGAAGGTGGTCCTGGGAAATAACTTAGCAATCAGAAAGGGGCCTTCAGTTACAGAAGCCTGAGAACCACTATGGCTGTATTCATGAAGCTTGCTGGTGCAATGAGTTGCTCCTAGCGATGGAATTCTATGAAGAATTGTAGTATTATGACATTTTCTTCACAAAGCATCTCAGCCCTTAAAGCGGAGGGAGTTGGTGGACAGACAGAGAGAGAGAGAAATATTCTTCAGACTTAATAAAACCCTACAGATAACAATGTGCAGGGAAAAGATGTGTGGTCCATCACGTTAGAGATGTCCTCAGGTCTCTCACCCAACACTAGAACAGAAATGAACGTGACCACGACAATGTTGGCTGGTTCATAGATTTACATGCAGACTGATGCTGCTACTTCTAGAGACTGAAACTGATGAAAGTTAATATCAAATCAATATAAAGTAAGCCTATGGCTTCAATGTATTCAACAGAGATCAACTACACCATGTCTGAATAGAGACTAGTCTCTGTGATCTATCCATCTCTCTGTCCTTTCTAGGCCCATCAGCACCAAGAGTGCATTATTAGCTCTTTTGGATCAACCAATCACAGCTCTTTAAAAGAATGTGTCATACCCATCACCGTGCCCATCAGGCAGAGATGGGCAGTATTTCTATTACTTGTAATTTAAATACGTATTTCAATTACTTTTGAGTATTTTGTAATTTGTATTTGATAGGGCCGATAAAAATCTAACGTAATTTGTCACAAAATACTTTAGAGTGGAGTAACTTTGTATTTAAAATACTCAAAATACTTTCTCCACGAATCAAAAAACAGTTCACGAGTTCAGTCTTCAGATCTTCAAGTTCAACAGATTGTCTGTCAAGTTAAATATTTTATCAGAGTGTGACAGATGTCAACTAGCTTGATGTATAATGTATGTCTGGGTCTGGCTACATAGCCTATTGTACATACATGGTGATGGTTATAATATCAAGCTCGATGCTAACATGCTAATGACGGTAGCATGCTGTCTAGGCTAGTGCACAGCCAGTGTTTAGCAAGTTAACTTGTCAGTGGAGTAACTAGCTATAGGAAGAGGGAGATTGGGAGCTTGTATGTTTATGATAACCTTATCAAGAGACGTCTGACCATCTAATCTTGCACTGTATTACAAGTTATGCTGTATCTTCTCAATGTGAATGTCATAATGCCATAACAATTACTGGCAGATAATATAGTTCAGTTAGCCAGGCTGTGACAGTAGATGTTCATTTGTTAAAAAAAACATTAAATATCCAATTTATTTTATTTAAAAGGCATATTATGAAAGTAGTTTTATTATTTCATACATTCTACAGTCGGCCAGGTCGACAACATGTCTCAGCAAGATGATGTTCAAGAAGGACCATCAACAAGCACAGATGTGCTTAGTCACACTGACATTCTGTGACTGTTCTTCCTTTTTGTGGGGTTCACCAGAGCTTTGTGTACATTATAGCCCAAACCTGAATGCTCTGCTATACCAAATTGTGAGAAAACGGAAAATCCAGAAAAAAGTATTTCCTATATTTTAAATACAAAATACATGTATTGTATTTTGTTCCATTTTCTGGCACCAGTATTTTGTATTTTATTTTGATACATTTATTTGAGGGGTATTTTGTATCAAAATACATTTTGATGTATCTTTGCCCATCTCTGCCATCAGATTTCTGTCCCTTCCTTTCCTGAATCACTCCTGATGTAGAAATGTTGCGGCTGAGTGAGGAGCTCTGAGAGGATTCTCTACATGTTTGGGAATACGACCACTGCACGAATGAAAACCTTCACAGAGACGATGCTGAATGGGTGAGTCTAAGCATGTGAAATAATTGACTCCAGCACCGTTCATCACACTAACCTCGATGCAGTTCCACATACAGCTCTCTGTCCGTCATGTTGGCTCTTAAACAGGCCCATCATCAACATCAAGATCTCACCTCAAATATATACTTTCCTTTTAAAAATTGCTGAGATTGCTTTGGCGAATGGTTATCTTGTCAAAGTCAATTTACCAGTAGGGATGCACCGATCAGACTGCTTCAGTCCTGGTACCATTTTGGGGATCAGCTGGTACCGAGAACTGATCTGATGCCAGTGTTTCATTAATAAGCTGTATGTGTGGAAGAGACTCAGGTCATTCTGGTATGTGTGGGGAAAGGCTCAGGCTCCACTTAAACGTTGTAAAAAAGATGTAAAGAATTCAATTAATACATAGAATTTACTGAATTGTTATTCATTGTTAAAATAATACATCATAAACCAGTAACGTGGTAACAAAGAAAATTCAAGTGTGAACACTTTTAAAGCAGCAACAAATTGGTGAAAACGTAAACAGGAATTAAAATCCCACTCATTAATGTATCTAGCATATACACATAGAACTGAATTGAATAGATCGGAAATGAACAGTATCAGCATCGGTGCATCCCTATTTACTAGTCACAAGGACTACAATGGAGCCTGTGAAAACCACTGTTTAGTGTTTCCTGTGGCTCTGGTGGAGTTGTGTCCAGTCTGAGAAGACACTAATGTAACATCTGTTGAACATCTGGGCTTAGAGACTTAAAACTGGTGTTTTCTATGGTACGCGGTGGAAAATACACTGAAATCAAACTCAACAACTCAGATTTAGATCTTTGCTAATCACTGTTGATCACACCCTGACTATCAGTCTGCATGAGGAGTGCATCTCCATTTGGTCTGGACGAGATTCAAAGTCCGTGTTTTAGAGTGAACCAAGGCAACATGGCAGCCTCCTCAGCCAACCAATCAAAGAGCTTATAGACACAGAGCCAGAGAATCAACAGGGGCCCCTGCCAAGCAGAAACGTCACGGGGATACACGGGGTAAGCTGGGAAATAAAAGTTCTGTGGAAGAAAGTCAAGGCACTAACTAGAGAAGTGAAAATGAACAAGCTTTACTTTGCTTTAGAGAATGTGTTGTACTGTGACAGCGGCTCGGGAGTTGAATGTGGGCGACACGGGGAGGCATCAGAGAGAGCAGTTTAAAAGGACAGTTCTGATCCCCGTGATTTTCATCTCACGGAAGAGAAAAGGGTGAGAGAGGGAGCGGGAAGAGTCGTCACGAGGCAAACATGACAACACAAGAGAGCGGGAGATGAAGAGAGGAGGGGGAGGAGGAGCAGAAACAATAAAAATGCTAATGTCTTAAGGCCTGGGAGGAATGATAAAAGCATTAAGACAAAGTACAAACAAGAGAGCCTCTGAAATAAACTTTATTTGAAGTGAAAAACAGCTTGTGTGTTGTTTTTTCTATTACCTTCATCTCCGTCTGCATTTGATAGGGCACAGCATGCAAACATGCAAGCAAAGAGAGGAGGTTAGAGATAACACACTTCATAGATTCATCAATTCACAGCCACAGGAATACATACACATTAGCATTAAACTGCACTGACACCACCATCATGCTTTGGAAGAGCAAGCTGAGAAGTTAGACAGGTCACTGTAGGATCAGGTTTGTATCAGAGGATGGTAAATGGTACTCTGTGGACTACCACGAGTCCCCAGACAAAGACAAAACAGACTCAGCTGAAAGAATGTAGCAGCCAGCGCACACGGAACACTTTCCAAATCTCATTGTTGTTCTGTTCAAGCCACAAGATAGAGTTTGTCCCAAAACTATTGTCATGTTGATGCAGGTTGACAAAAACTATGCATCTAAGCACAGACGAGCTGTGCTGAGTGAGGAATCTTTAACATAACTATGCAAGAAGTCTTTGTGTGTGTATGTTTCAAGTTGCTCCTGCAGTGTTTTATAGCAGAGGTGAGCACCTCGACTTAACATCATAAGAAATGAATAGACTTGAACCTTAAGGGGAAAAGACCAAAAGCACTCTCTGCCACAGCAAAAGCCAAGTGTTCAGTGTGGATACAGTTTGAGCCATCATCTACAAGCTGAGGCGGCTTCATTAAGAGAAGCATCAGGATCTGGGTGCTGAGGAAGACCTGTCTCCAAGGAGCACCACACTATAGCACCCAACATTTGACCAAAACGTTTGGACTCAAAGTCAACTTACTGGCTTTCTCTTGAGCTTTTGACCATATCACACACCATCAACTCTGCGATCGGACTCTTGTGTTACAATGGCGGCGAGTGAGGACAAAGTTCATAAGCTAAAGGACAAGCGAGCATTTTGAATTACCCTGGAAACAGGAGATAAGTTGGGCGGCATTAGAGGTTCACGATTTATTCACTTAAATCAAGATTAAACATTTTACCTTGATTTGGGTTTTTATTTGATAACCACTAATTATTATAACAATTTGTAGAAAGGAAGTCGATTTCTGACTCACTTGCCCGACCAAGCAAGAAAACACAAACATTGCCTTGTAACACTGAGCCCTTCCATGGTTAATGAGCAAACCCATGAGGACTGTGATAGGATTAAATCTCCAGAATGAGTGGAGCTTCAGTTAAGATTGATTTGTCAACTGCTGTTATCAATGTCAAGAATAATATTATGACATGAAAGCTAATAATATGATCATGATAGCTGGGACAGTCCCACACGTGGGGACAGCCTGAACTACACGACTAACTGTGATTCTGTAGCGATTTAAGGATTTTTAATGTCCAATCTCACAAATCTGTCTGATACACGCGAATCATGGCAAAAGTCATGCAGACTGTACGAGGCTTAACTGAGAGTGGACAAACAGGCCAGTCTTACAGGACCTTTACTGACCACATGTATCTGCTATCTGCTCCCTACAACACCCAAATTACAAAGAAACACTGTCTCACTTTCCTCGACTGGACTCTGGCTATGCAGAAGCACGAGAGGCTCTACTCTGCCCACATACTTGGTTTGGTTTTGGGCCATGATCACACTATGATATGTTGTGGACAAAGCCCGGCCCACGGACTAATTTTGTTCCCAGTTTGGCGTGGGACTAGTTGACTGGCCAGCAGAGAACCTGAGCTCAACCCCAGTTTACACCTTTGGGATGAACCGGGACACCGACCGTCATCGGCACAAACATCGCCGAGTGTGAGCAAATCTCTGCAGCCAGGCTTCAACATCTGGTGGACAGACTTCTCTGACAGATGACATACAGACATTTCATATGCCATAACCTGGACAAATAAAACCAAAACTATCTGCATGGTTACATACCACTAGGGTGAGAGCAAGTCCCTTTAGGTTGACCAACATTTTCCACACTACAAACTCTGCATGTGGTTAAACAGCATCTGAAGGAAAACCCTGTAGTCCTGGTTGATGTTACAGTCAGCATGCTGCCTACAGAGAGTCAAGCCTGACACCTAGAGGCAGTTGTTAGGAAGTCAATGCCAGTTGTATATTTTTTGCTATTCTCTTTTGAGGATAAGAAAGAACCATTTTTTGCCCTCCACCAAAACCCTGGTCACTTGAAAGCATGCTATGCTTAACAGAAGCATGTTCAGGCACCCAATCGATTTTACTCTGCACACTATGTATACAATTATTGTTTATTCAACTCTCTGAGGACCCTGTTGTTGGTGGTGTTGTCTGATTGGACTGCACTATAACGCAACCTGTTTCTGTGATTGTGTCCTTTGATAAATGCTGCCGCTCAGTGGGTCCTCAGACCACACGTGAGTGAGACACAGTGATTTCACAGTGCTTTTGGTCTTTCCCGTCCATGAAAAACATCACTGGGTCATTTAATGAAAAAGGATGATCAGTCCTCATGTTATACTGAGCATGGACCAATAGGAGATGAACACACCAGGTGAGGCTTGACACAGCTTCTGCGATATGATTCAGAGAAAGACAAAAGACATGACATGCATGTATTTTGTTAAAAACATCACGAGTAATCCCTTCATCTACCAGTTTTATATACATACACACTCAAAGACTTGTCTTTGATGACAAAGTGTCATTCTCCCTTACGAGATGAGAACACACACATTTCGTTATTTAGGGAGAAAGAGCCAGTCCAGACGGGCCTTCGCGCCCTCTAAAGGATTAACCCCGCCCACTAAATAGTTTTGGTCCTTGCTGGGTATGTTTGGCCCCATCTCATTGTGCCACAATGGGTCTTTTTCTGGTTTGACCTGTCATCCTCTCAAAGGTCTCTACACCTCAACAAGATAGGCCTGGGTGAGACTGGTCTCTTCATTGTGACCTTTGTAATCTGATCATACCAGGACACATTAACTGTCAAGTCTGAACACTTTGGGATCCGATCAGCCAGACCACATTGTGAGGTGGCCTGGCTCACATTGAGTTCAGATCTCAGTGAGTGTGGACAGCATGTGGACTCAATCCATTTATCAAACACAGCTCTCCATCATCTTCCTCCCACACAGGAGAGCAAAGGGAAGAGAGGAGAGCTGAGACCTGCTATCTCAGTCTACATACATAATCAATGTTTCCTGATTGTGCTGCTTCAAAATAAAAGCTTTCAAATGACAAAATAACAGGCAGACTTTTAATGTGAAGAATTTATAAGAAATGAAAAGGGTCCATCCACTGTTTTACAGTGCTTTGACCACGAAATATAACCTTTCACTATCTGATCAGGCATTGAAGTGTAAAGTATGGACCCACATATGTGGACACAGCTGAGTTCTCATCTGGTGCACCTGATCACAAAAGTGGCATTGAAAAGACAAGTGTAACCAGGGCCTTAGTGAATGCTACTGTGCTGCTGTGGAGCACCAGAAGCACAGTCAGGGACACAGATGTTCTCTTCATGTACCGACCAGTACAAACAATGGGACAATCTTCCAGTGATGTGATGTACTCAAGATTTGATGCATTTGCAGTCAGTCAGCTGGGAGTTGTTACCTTTAGTGGCTCCTGCGGCCCCCAAGTGGTAAACGGCCCCCAGGATGAGCCACAGGGCCTTCTGCTCCTCACCAGAGATGCCCAGCACCTTCATGGCTGCCTGCAGCTTGGTGAACTGCTGCGAGGCTCGCTGCTTGTCTTCAGGCTGGAGAGGATATGAGCAGATCAAACTGACAGGAAGTGGAAATATTGCAGCAGCAATCAGCTGCTTCCATATATTCATTTCATTCATAAATACCATAGAGGTTGGAGTCCGGCCGATACATTGGCTAATATGAGCTTATTGCAGATCACGCCCTGCTTTTCTTTTTGCACTCTCTCTTTCATTTGTTATTTAGTCATTGTGGGTTTTTTTTTCAAATGATGTCATTTGTATTTTCACATGCTGTCTGCAGGTACTTATTTGTGTCCTTCTATGTTTTGTAAATCAATAACATCTGTTGTCGCCTTTGTTAGAAAAAAACTAAAATATGAACGATCTTATTGCTCCATCTGTATTGCCATATTTGTCAGCTAATAAATGACAAGAAAGTGAAGAATATATATAAATGCTTGATATATGTTTTGAAAGCAGGTCAACACCATTTATTTGTCAGCTGTAATGTTCACTACATTCTTGATCGCAATTGTGAAAAAAAAAAAAAAGGAACCTCATCAAAACTGTGTATCAATTTATGGGTTGGTAGAGAAAATGAATTCCCACCAATATACAGTATCTTCATATGATTTTTTTATAGACATTGGTATCGGCCTCAAAAGCTTGTGTATTGGCCTTTAATATAGGGCTCAGCTAAATACATGTAGAACATATGAAAGGAACCATGTGGTGTGATTACCTTAGACTGTGGTAGGATCCCAAAAGCACTGTTCTCAGCCAGGTGGTTAAAGTGCAGCTCCGTTCTGGAGGAGAGGAGGAGAGAGGTACTGGGATCAGCCTCAGGAGGTTGTGCAGGAATTTCAACATCATTTCATTTGATTTAGTTCAACAACACTAAAAATCTGTTTTTTTGAGGTCACAGTGACTTTTGACCACTAAATTCTAATCAGTTCATCCTTGAGACGGACGGAGGGACGGCTGGAAGCAGACGCATAAAAAACATCACACAAAAATGAATGCCTTGGGAAAGGAAAGAGTCCGTCTTTATGCTATTCATATTGCTGACATGAAGTGCTAGAGGAGTCACCTCAGGCTGCTGTCGGCTCCGGCCATCATGTAGTAAAAGACGTTGAAGGTGGACTCTGCCTCGGGTCGTTTGCTCACCCTCAGTTTCTCCAGCAGCATCGTCTAAGCAGGAGGAGACAGCATGAGTCAGACGGTCCTGCTATGATATCCTCAGTACAGCACACCTGTGTGTGTGTGTGTGTGTTACCTGGATGGAGGCGGAGGCCACCTGCCCAGCCTGGTCAAAGTCCAGGGACACTACGTGGGAGAAGCGGCTGGCGTTGGTGTTCATAGAGGTGGAGCTGTTGCCAAAAGCCTCCAGGATGGTGTAGACCGCCTGCCACTTCTCAGCTGGGTCAGCAGAACAATGTCAAACTGGATCTCATTATGTGTTCAGAGGGTTCAGTATAAACCTTTGAGTGAGAATGCAGCATTCTGTTCTGCCCTTTGTCTTTCACTAAATACTGGAGCAGTTTGTCTCCATCTGGGGTGGACAGACTTTAAGAATGCTTTAAATAATCTAGAATATGGCTTGAGCATATTTATAATAATTTGCACTGTACGTACATTGCTCATCGTGGTTCAAACACTAGATGTCGACTACATTTAGTAAAATGACCTCTGTCTTAACCTCAGAAACCAATATTTTACCATTTCTGCCTGTTCTGTTCATAACATCTTCATATTAGACAGATTTATATATTTTACATTTGCATCATAATCCATGAACAGAAACTTATACTTACCTACATATTTAGACATAACATCATAATATTCAAGTGGGCACTTAGGCCCTACACATCATTAGAGTTTAAAAGTATAAAGTTTTGAATGAACACAGGTGCAGTCAGTGAACAAATACTGTCCTTTGTTAGTGCCTCCACGTATTTCACCTCGACAACTTCTGATTCATCTTCTGGGAATAAAAATATAGTTTATATAGTATAAAATATAGTATTGCAACCTGGGCCTTATTTTCATAGTTTTGGTAGAGAAAACCGAGGTGAACAGTAAAGTTATTAAGCAAACTGACTGTTGTAAACATCCATCACAGCTTATAGAACCACCACCTGCTTCCTACCATAGCTGAGGACACACAGGATTCCTGTGCAATGAGAGATTAACAGTGACGTGTCTGGTTGGTTCAGTTAGAATTTTACCTCCAAATAAAGTGCATCTATTCCCACTGCAGTGATACAACACTGTACAAATCAACGTGCAGGTCCTGTATGACTACGTATCTACTCATCTGTTCTATTTATTCATGTATTTATGTGATGACTCTGTCTGTAGGCTCACCAGAGAAGATTTTGCCTGTGCTGCCGGCGATGGAGACCAGGTACTGGACCAGGTGCTGGCAGTTGGTGGTCTTGCCGCTACCGGACTTGCCCAGCAGCACGATGGACTGATCCTGCCGGGTGGTGAGCAGGTTGCGGTAGGCGGACTGGGCCACAGAGTAGATGTGAGGTGCAGAGTCCTCACGCCGGCAGCCTTTGAACATGTGCATCACCTGGTGCGAAAGATACACACAGCGAATCAACAGACGATTATCGACTGCTTTCTCCTACACCAATTACAGCTAACAGACTATCAGAACTAAGATGTTCTCAAAACAGTCTCTAGAATGATTCAGAGTTTCTGGTGGAGTGGTCCCCCCCCCCCCCGCTGAGCCCCAAATCAGCACCAGTGAATCTTGAATCCTCTATTACAAACCAGTTTTCCGTCTCTTTTCCATGGAGGTGACCCCCACATCTCTGTTCTCCATATGTCTGCTCACCAAAACTTGGTAAGAGGAGTTAACGTTATGGAAATGTACCCAAAGTCTTTGTATTTCTACATTCAAAGCTTTGAGGTTTTAGAATGAAGCTTCAAATGTCTGTTGTCAAATTTTGTGAAGTCATCACCTTAAGAAATATGATTTTGTGTTATTGTGGTTATAGAAATGTAATTTATGGTTCTGTTAGATTGCTGCTACACCACCCCGTTAATACAGGTATTTTCCTCGCTATGGAAAGTGGGAGAAAATGTTGTTTTTCAAAGGCTAAACGGCAACAAATATGCATTAAAGCATAATGTTTTGTTGGATAAAAGCATGTTGTAAATTTTAGAAATGATTACATCTATTTTTAAATTTATTAGAACTCTTGTGCTAAAGAGCTGCATCTCGACTAACTGCCTCCTCTCAGACACTCTGGGACCAGTCTCACAACAACACTGCTCTCCAAACACCAATCAGAGTAAAACACATTATAACGAGATGTAAAGAAACCGATCTGGAACACTGGAAAGAAGAAAGTAAAAGCCAAAGTAGATTAGAATGTTATCTGGCCCTAGAAATAGATTATGAATTGGCAGAATATGTCTCTACTGTCAGAGATAGAAAGCAGAGACAGATCCTCACCGAGTACAGGCTCAGAGACCACAAACTGGAAATCTAAAGGAAGACACTAAACATCCTGGCAACCAAAAGAGAACAGAATATGTGGTCACTGTGGGACAGGTGAGGCTGAGACAGAGATGCACTTCCTCCTAAAATGCGAAACATTCAATAAAATTAGGAACATATACTTTAAAAAATTCAACTCAATTCAATTTAGTGACATCTCAAAATTAAAAATACTCCTAGGAGAAGGAGATAGGGCAAATCTTGCTGCCCAATATGTATTAAGATGCCACAACCTGAGGGACAGTGAGTGGCCGCACACCGCTGGGCCAATCTCTCTAGACAATACATAGCACACTATTCCCGATCAGGCCGCACGTTTTGATGTATTTTCTGCGCAGGTCTTGGCAACGCTGTGTGAGGAGAAACGTGCCAAACTTTCTGAATAAAGATTATTATGATTAAGCCCGATGGATTTTATACAGTGTGCTTTGTAGCACCAAGGCAGTTTTACTGCCTTGGTGCTACAAAGCCACACTGAATAATTTAAGATTGTCAACATTATGAATGAAGCTTTGAGCTATTAAGTATAGTCCTATTGATGGATATGATTAGGATTGTGATAAGATAATGTTAAACAGAACAGGATGCTGTATGTTGTGGCACCATGCACAAACACAGTCATTTAAAAGGAGCTGTTGTTAGAGGAGACATAACTATGAAATAGATTGTTTTTGGCCTATTTAAATGTTTATTCACAGAACTTTAGCTCGCAGAAAACTTAATGGTTCTATTTCAAGGCTTTATCAGGGGTGAGTGACAAGCCGCCGCCCCCTGGCCATCTCCAGTGACCATGATTGGACAATATCAAAATAGCTTGAGGTAGAATTAGATTAGATTGGAAAACTTTATTAATCCCCAGTGGGGAAACTCAGTTGCCACCAAAAACTCATAGACTCAGAATGCACTGTTGTCACACAGTGCAGAATACATTTAAGACATTTCACATGACTTTACACTGTAGAACTGCCTGATTAATACTGCGTGGTCTTTACTACTTTACTACTTTTTTTAGGTTTTCCATTTGAGCCGAGAGCAACTTGTCTGATGAACAAGAGGTCCACTTTAATGAGGCAAAGTTAAAGTTCTTGGGCTTGAATTGTTCTGCTCGTGCTATTCAAAGGACATAGACACCCACACATGATATGCCATTCCAAAACCATGGGCACTCAAACAGTATGCTGCCCTATCATCAGTCTCACACTTACCTTCTCAGAGTACATGGAGGGTGTGCTTAGTGGGTTGATGACCACCATATTGGTTCCAGCGTAGGTGTGGATGAGGTTGCCTCCATAGCGCTGCCTCAGGCAGTGCATCACACTGGATTCATTCAGATAGAGCAGTGAAGCCAGGTCCTCTGATCGGTTGCAAGACGGAGGGTTGGCCTGCACACAGAGAGAGATGAAGATGATGCCATTCAACGAGTCACAGAGAGACGGGTACCCAGATACACCCATGGACTGTTCATTTAGATTGGATCTTGGATACAACATGTCTGAGGTCCAGTGGTCGCTTAGACCTGTCGTATCCAGTGGTACTGTAGGGTGATCCAGGGACAAAGTCAGGGGCACCAGAGGAGTGATGACACCCCAGAGGAAACACAAGTCCTTCTCTTTCTTAAAGCTTGACCGCCTCTAAGTTTGCATGTGTTTAATCAACCTGATGCTTCATACAGCTGGAGGTGCACCATCATGACCAATGATGTCCTATTGGAGCCCGCAGTGACAAACAGAGTGCTGCATCTTCTAATATGACCCTGGTGTATTTGTGAGCTGTTTGTATATTTGAAATAATAACCCTTCTGCCATCACATGTATACGTTGCATACACAACTATGAGAAAATACATTGAACTGATGAGTCTGTAGAGTAGCTACACCTCTCTCCTTGAATGAATAAGGTTTGTGTCATTTCATATTTTGTTCTTGTCAGCAAATCCCATGTGCAGACCCAAACCAACACTGTTTTAGTCCAGAGCGGCATGCACCTCTATAGCTCCTAGGAAGTGAATTGAATATTAATATAATAATAAAGTCTATTTAGAGGTCAGGAAGAAGGTCGTCTTCTATTAGGAAGCTTTCTGCTTATGTCATCAGGTATGCTGTTAATGCATGCTGATGGCTGTTATTTATAGCGGTGTTAAGAGGGCCCTTTTCCCAGTACACTGATAGTGATTCTGTAGATTCTCAGACAGACCATTAAACAGGAGGTCTATGACATCATCACACCATCAACTAAATGACTGAGACTGTTTTTGTCCTCTGGGTCCTGATATTTAGAGCCTTACAGTCAAAATCTTGGCAACGACATGATCAACATAGTTGCCTTGTTCCACTCAACACATCTTCAGAGATTTTAGAAACGTCTGATTGGGAAAAGCATTGTGGCCAAGTAAGCAAATGTTAACAACTACTGAACTTCCCAACTGTCCTGTCTGACCGGTCCTCCACCTATCTCCTCCTGCTGGCTGTCAGAGTCCTCTGAGGCCTTCTGAGGCTCTGAGTGACAGGTGGAGATTAGTGCCCAGGGACTGCTTCAGGCTGCATCCATCGGAGTTGTACATGCAAGTGACATTAACTAACCTTCATTCTGTTTTACTAGAAGTGGAAATTAGATATACAATTACTTGCAATCACTAATACTGTGATACACTGTCTCTATCTGGGATAAAAATTGTGTTCTGTACATCCTCAGTACCATCCTCAGTCCAATGATCAGAAATACCTAAACATTTATAAAAAATACTAAATGATATTTTCATCATACCCAGGAGTGAATATGAAAAACAAGTTGGTATGGATGAACAGTTTGTATCAAATTGCACATAGGAGCTCCTGGTGCACTACCATTAACCGACTCCCTTTCACCTTTTCTACGTCGTCTTCGTCCACTTCCAGTATTGTCCCATCATGCTCCAGTTTGACCTTCACCTTGCCCTCTGGCAGGGAGCCAGCCTCTGTCTTCACTAAGGTGGCTGTGAGGAGACAAAAGAGACAGGAAGCACTGACACAGTAGCTATTAGCTCATCTGTTTATCTTAACTGGCTAATTCAAAGGCAAAGACATGTTTCAAACGTTGGAGCTTGCAGACTAGCACCAGAGCTTCTCCGGTCACTTAGAATCGGAAGACACGATACAACTTTTCTCCTCTGTTAACAGAAAAACTAAGGAATCTGCTAACCTTTTAACACCCGATAATCCACCCCTTTCTAGCACGAAGAAAACATTCCCATTAGGAAAAATGAGATCATATTTGGATTATTAGGTCTAATACTTGTCTTATCTGTTTCTGTGGATCACCACCAAAGAGAGACAAGCAGCGAACATAATGGCAGGCTTTTCTAATCATTAAAAGAAGAGTTCAGCCATTGGGTAATAAGCTGATTTGCTCTTTCAAAGATAAACAAGACTTAATAAGGCTCATGTCTGTGTGTTAAAACCTCTTCTCACTCCTGTAAAATTTGTCTAAAACGCCTATCCAAGGCGTACCCAAAGTAAACTGACAGCTCTTATTGAACCATTGGGAGTACATGTATGGTCTCTATTGAACGGTAACACTCTGAAGTTTCTTCACAAACAGTCAGAATCACTGTAAGTGCTACTGGCATTGAGCTATGGAGTTTACAACACACTGAAAAAGAAGGTTTTTATTTCCACCTGGATTTGTTTTGGCAAACAGATGGCAGCAGTTATCTATGGCTGGGACTTATGAGCTGGAAAACACACTCCTACGACAGCATGGAGTCATGATACCTGGTAGAAGTTAGAATTTGATAACAATACGACAGAAAATTAATATTTTACACGTGGTTTACTAAGAGTGCGGCCGCGTAAAAACGCATTTGGAGGCTCGCGTCACCACGTCAAAATGCATATACTACGATAAACTACGTGTCCGAAATTCGAACTGTAGTTTATTTATGTCGATGTATGGTTAACTATATCATATTTAACCATTGTCAACTTTCACAGATTCTTGAAAATTCTCATGAACCAGACTTTGCTCTTGATAATCGGTCTCAGGTACTTGACTCACGGTTTTGAATTTCAGTTTTGAAAACTTTCCCAACCTGCAATCTGCTGAATCTGCATATCCTTGTCTTCGTAATTTCATTGGCTATATGGAGCCTGAGTTTGAACTGGATCTGTTTCCAATTGGCTCGAGCTTTACCCAAAGAAGAGAGGCGGGCATTGTCTTTCAAAGCGGACTCTCGTTGGCTGTTCCAGAATGTGACCGGGCTATAGAAGCTCCTATTGGGTCAAATGAGGTGTCAATCTAACCGGCGGAATGCAGGCTCCATTTTGCGATGAAAATCTCCGCTCTGTTGACATGAAAAGTGAAATTAGACCGAATTATGATCGCGAGTTATCATATCTGCTGGCTAATTTGAAATGATGCAACAGCCCCCCGTGGGTCTTTATGGACGTACTAATGTGTTTTGGACTAAATCTTTTACTGGATTCGATTGAGTGGACCCTTAGCGATCAAGCAAGACCGTTTTTGCTGGACTAGCATGCACGAGGGAGACGCTATGAATCATAATCGGTGAGTCACGGCGATATTTTATTGGCTATTTTTGGAGTGCTTGTTTGACAGAGACGTTAACTGTACCTGCTGTTGTTATTGTATCTTGAAATGGTTTGCAGAAATCTAATTACAAGAACCGTAGCTTTCTAATGAGATATCACATTAATACTCATCTTTACAGAGCAGTTCTGTACATAACACAAATCTACACTTACCACTCTGACGGCCCGCGGGGTACAAAAGCTGGAGCCGTGACATGGTTAGCCTAGCTTAACATAAATACTCAAAGCAGAGGAAAACAGCTAGCCTGGCTGTGTTCAAATTTGAATCACATCAACCCCTCTACAGCACACTGATGAACACGTTGTATCCCTTCTGTTTAATCTGTACATGAAGAGAAACCGTGAAGACGACACATTTGTAGTTTTGTTGGTGATGGACAGATGGAAAAACTGTTGTATACATGTAACTCCCCAAAGATTAAAGATTAACTGTCGACAGAAGTCAATCAGCAGAAAACTAATCAGTAACAATCAAGTAATCACTAGGCATGGTCTATTATTGTGAGATAACAACTACAGAAGGAGAGGATTTGGGCCAAGACCACAGTATGATGTATTAAAACAGAAAGTGAATATATTAAAATGCAGCAATGGCACCTAAGAAACAGAAAGGCCAAGCGACCCCATAACGAAGCAGTTAGGCCAAAGATGGGACAGATGGGAGTCAAACCCTGGGACAGATGGGAGTCGAACCCTAGACCACATAGGCTCTTTTGTGCCCATGTGGTCAAGGGTTCGACTCCCATCTGGCCTGACCGTTTGCTGCAACATTCTCCTACCGTCTTTTCCCATATGTCCTGTCTCTCTCCACTATCACCGTCAACTAAAGGCAGAACACGGCCAAAACATTGCCTTTATTTCCCCGTCTGAATATCTGCAGTTATGACACTTCACTTGCCAAAAAGGTGCTAAATGAATTTGGATCGGTTCCCATTTTATCTCTTTCTTTCCTCCTAACTTTAAAAGCTATGTCATTGAGAAACACACACAATCACACTGCAATTCAGACAACTACATAAAGTACGAATCCATCTAAAAACCTATTCAAATCCTATTATCTTTGTCATTAGACTTGACCGGTGTACAAGATTAAATTTAAGTAAGAGACAGAGAGAGCAAAATTGCCCCCCAAAAGGCTAGAAATGTCCGACATCAGAACGTTTAAGAAGGAAGCAAAGTAATCCATCTCACCCAGGGAGAAGCCATTTTTGTGCACAAGCCAGACTTTCTCTGATCCATACCAGACTTGCTCCGCTGTGATCTGCTCTTCTGTCTTCACCTGGTGGACAGAAAGGACAAGGAGAAAAATGAGTGAACAGGTACGAGGAAAGTATTATTGTCGAGTCACTGGACCAGTCGTAGTCACACTGAGTGGGTTTGAAAACACCATTATTTCCACTTTGATAACCAGCACATGCTGAAAGGTTATTAAGGGAAAGCTTGCCAAGATGATGACCATGCAGTGGATGACAGTGGACTCAAAAGGCCTCACAGTCCACTGAGCACTGCTGCTCCTTCAGGCTGCTGTGTGACAACGTGTGTGTGTGCGCATGTTTGTGTGTCACAAACTTCAAAACAAGCCTTAGGGGGGTGTGATTGGGGTTTTAATGGCAACCCGGGTAACAGAAACACCAGGGATTACCTGGGTTCAGTAAACACAAACGGCACAAAAGTGAGGGAGGAACACCACAACAAACAACTAAATAATAGAAACACATCTTAAAGCACATTAATGGTAAAGAAAAATGAATAGTGATCATTTTGGATGTAAACCCAAAGAAAATAATTCAGTCTTAACTACTGGTTTCACATCATAGTAGTGGGGAAAGTGAACAAGACACACTGCACTTGGCAAGCAGAGGGTGAGCACAACACAGCACAACATTCTACGGAGCAGGGTGACGATGGTGGAGCTGCTGGAGGAGTACACTCAGACCTGGGATTGCTGAGCTGCAGCATGAGAGGTCTGAAGGAGGGCCACAGGGTCCTCGTCCACTGATCCCTGGGGATTTGGCCAGCATGAGGAGGTCAAAGGTCACAGTTATATGCGAGTAACACATAAGCACACAGATAAATGGAGCATTAACCGCGTAGCATTGCATCTGAACAAAGTGAGGTTTGTCATACTTATCCAGCACAGCTGTGTGAGAGAAATCCAGTTTGTGTACAAGTGTGATCGTCTATGAAAGGACCTGTTGGGATGCGTTTGCTGGCTTCATGGTAGATCAGCTTTAATGTCACACTTTCAAACAGATTCATGGAATAAAATGGCTGCATGACAACAAAAAACTTTGAGGTAGCGCCTGAATGTAATAATTCGCCACACAACACTCACACATACCTCTTTATTAAGATATAAACAGCATACATATACATGCCAACCCAAAGACACAAAGCCCATGCAGGTCGCTTCTATCAGCCTGATGAGAAAAATCAGTGACTGTTTAGAAGGAGTGAAGAATTGTCACTTTAATCCGTGCTGCCAGTACAAACAGAAATGAAGGACATGCTCAACCTAAATTCAGCAACTGCCAGTCAGGCTCTGCTAAAAGTGAAAAAAATAGATCTACTCTAAAGGTACCTTAAACAAAGCATTGTACCTTGTCACCTAACAACTTTATCACCATGTATTGACTCAACTTGTTGCTTTGTTTTGTAGTTGTGCCACCTAGCAGACTTTGGTCCAAAAATAGCTCCAATGCTAACTTTCTTAAACCCACAATAGCTGGATTTCTTTTTTACAGCATTCAAATGAAAGATCTCAGGAGTTACTTACTCCTGAGATCTTTCCTCCTGCCTAAACACAACTACATAAACCCTACATCTATCTCTGTACCGGATCATTATTCTCAGACCATTGCTAGAGGTTTCTATCAGACCATTCTTTAAAATGTGGTTCCCTTCATGCCAAATAAAGAAAAATGTCACATTTCCCCTTATTTGTATCCTTTGTAACTTGACATAATGTCTCCAAAAGGATTTAGACTAAAATGTTCTCCGACTGACCACCAGGCTTGACCAAATCAGATCAGTCAGATAGTGGTTCTGGGTTTGATCCACAGGACTGGATTAAATCCTGTAGCCTAGCCTTTCATCTTTTTGTATTGGTCACAGTGTAATACAGATGTTGGAAATACTGCAGACATGGGAAATCAGAAAAAGTTAGAAGGATTCCGGGCCTTACACTCTGACAAGTCACACGAGCACAAACTCCAGCCAGGAGGCCCAGAGGAAGGCTGGAGGGCTGCGGTACCTGGAGGAGGCCCTGGGACAGCGGGGCAGCAGGGGTGGGGGCGTGGGCAGAAGACGAAATAGTGACTGGCAGCTCCAGCTGAGCCACAAAGCAACCACAGCGAGACAACGACAACCAGCAAAAGCAGTGTGTTTGGGGTATGGAGAGAGGACAGAGAACGAGGGGACAAAGAAGAAGACAAGGTCAACATGGAACTTTGGGGAAAGAAAAGGCAGTGCATGAAAGCAAAGAAGAAGAGCATGGACACTTGTACGTAATGGAGAAGTGAAATGGCTTTGCACTGAGTAACCATGGGGTGGAGATGATTCCTATACAATGACTAAATGATCAGTTCAAACCTATACAGTTATTGCTAACTGTCAGAGCGGCACATTAGTAGGAGGCAGGTCCCTTCTGTGGTCGCTTACTGACATCCATTCGGTTAGTAACTTGTTAGTAACTTAGTTACAGACGTGGATCTGTGCGCTCTCTGCAAGTCGATGTCTACACTCAGCCTAAGATCATTTGAGAGGGAGGAACCTCCACTTTATACACATCGTACAAACAACTGTTCGATTTTGTAGTTTACAGCTGTTATTTCAATGTGTCAGATATACGTTTCATAATCAACATTTAGACAAAAGACTGGACTGGACTTGATATGGGCATCTACCCAATATTACAGGACTCAGGCAGTCCACAAAGGCAAGCAAAGAGTCCAAATGTTCAACTGGGAAACTGAGATTGGACGTTTGAGGCAGGACAACAGCAAAGGGGGAAATATTTCACTCCGTCATGAGTCACAACTGTTCTGTCCCAGTCAGGAGAGCAGGAGTCTCCTCTGCTGTGTGTCTGTAAGTATACCCCAATACACTAAGCATGTGAGGCATGGTGACTAATGCTAACAGCCTAGGAGAGCGTTCTGTAAGCCAACTCTGAGATGGAGAAACAGACACATGCAGTAGAACCAACCGGGTTAAGCTGGTAATGCAGACTTCTTTTTAAGGGAACATCAGCGGTGATAATTTGACTCAGTCTGTAGTACTGTTAAAATAAATGTGTGTTTAACGGCACAAAGGTTTGCTGTTTTTAGTTGTGCAAGAGACAAAGAGACAGCGCCAAACCAAGACATCAATAATATGCAGATGCCCAGCAGGGTGATTTACAGGGGCACTGAAGATCCTCATCAGGCGCCTCTGAGCCTCCTCGGTGGGACTGAGCGGTTCCTCCTAAAGGTCAAAGCAGCAACACATCGACACTAAGCGCACTAATAAAGCTGAACAAAGCCCACAGGTACGTGAGCGCAACGTCACAAAGCAAATGCATATGTGATGTACTCCTCTCACAAATCAAAGAGGGTCTTGACTCATGCTCCCTCGAGGACACTCTGCACACTCACACTTCTGCCATCAACATTACAAAGCATCTTGGGTTACTTTGGAATCTGATTTGAAAAGACCATGCTAGTAGCACTCCCAAGGTAAATGTTCAAAGGTGCTCCAGTCAGCATGCACACTAGTAAATCAATGCTTCACGCACAGAACAGTACAATTGTTTGGTTAAAAAAAGAATGAATGAACAACCCAGCACAGCAGATCAATTAATTTGGCGTTCAGCCTGTGCAGTAAAACCCCGATTCATTAAGATTTGTCATAAAGAAGTTAATATCTATCCAGCAAATTTTTAAAAAAAAATGGATTTCCAATCTACTACATCCCTCCATTCCAAAATATGACACAGTCAATGCTTTGAGAATCTAGGAACAGAATTCCTTCCAAGAGAGACTGTACTGGTTAGTGTTGGAGCCCACTGAGACCCAGTGAGGTCTTTGTTGCACAAATTCAGCAAGAGCCAGGAATAACGTTCTTTTTGTAACTATGTCTTCCATCTGTAAAGTTGTGCTCTCTGTGCCTGTTCATAGGTTTTGAGTTGCTCTCCTACAATGCAGCACTGCAGTAATTGGCTCTACATGGGTTTCCTGTTAGTGACTAGACACGCTGGGCTACTGAAGTCCCTCATTTGGAACAGTCTCGGGTGGGACTCTGCCTCTGTAAACACGGCGTATGAGCTACATTCTGCTATGTGAGATCTCATGGGTGAAAGAAAGTAGCAACTGTCTGTCTGTTTCTGATGGTAGACTCCAGAGAAAGAGTTGTAGTGCTCAAGAAACTCTAAAAGAGCAAGCGCTTAAAATATGCAAAATGAAGCAGCTCTAGAATCTCTAACAATAAAGAATCTGCTATTTTGACAGCAAATCCAAGTTTTTTAGGAAATGAACAGTTGAGGAGGAAATAAAATGAGTGTGACTGATCTGTCACCAGAATGGTGACTTATGATCAGGAAGTAAACAAATACAACTGCCACTGTTGCCCTGGAGCAAGACACTGAAAAATAGAAGACTTGCAAAATAAATAACTTGTTTAGTGCCCGGTGAAAAAAAAGACAAATATAATGACTAAAGACCAAAGGTCTAAAGGCCCAACTACAGAATGTCAGGCACAACCTGACCTGAGCCTGCATCTTTGCTTTATTCCATTCATTACTGACCTTGATCTTGTTAGGCTAATGCACAGCATTGGCCTAGCTGTCTCTTTCCCATTGAGGATTGAGTATGAACTTTCAATACCCATGGATGTTGAAACCCTTTCTTGTTCTAGACCAACGCGTTGGACAATTGAACAGGACAGCAAACCAACTGAGCAGCTATTCTCTAGCCTGCTTATTTGCCCTTGTAATTCTGAAGAAAGGTAAGCAATATCTTGTGTTATATCTATATAACATATAACATTATATCTATCAATATCGAGCATGCTTACAATGGCTATCAAGTAAGCAAACTCCAAAGTGCTCTTCTATTTCAAACATGCATTTCAAATGTTCATGCACTTTCCACACCAGTGTCCCAAATGCTGAGCAGACATGCGAAGTGTGGACAGTGTACCTCTTGTTGACTGACGGCAGTTTGTTGAATGGGAATTACTCCTCGAGGGGGAGCCACTACACTGGGATTGGGACGGGGAGTTGCAAGTGGAGAGGTTTGAGGAGCTGGGATGAAACGTGATGGAGGAGTGAGGGAGGGATTCTTTTGGGCCACTGGGGCAGCAGAAGGAGGATTTGTAGGGGTGGGTTTTTTGACAGCAGTTGGTTTGGGTGCAGGTATGAAGCCAGGAGGTGGAGACAAGGGTGAGGGCTTGGGAACTGGGATAAAGCCAACAACTGGTGGGAGAGATGTGGATCTGGAATGAGTCGATTTGGATGACTTTGGAGAGGAGTGCTCAGAAGATGTGCTGGTGGGGTTTACAGCAACCACGGCAGGTTTGGCCTCCTGTATACCTTGACTAGCGCTCATAGGTTTGTGATTGATCTTGTGCGGCTTAAGGGTGGTTTTATCCTCTTTCTTCTCCTCCGACTCAGCAACTTTTCCTACTGTCTTCTCATTATTCTTCTCCAACTCTATTTTTTCTGGTCGTTCATCTTTCCATACTCTGGGGCGAGGCTCCCTGGTCCTGCCTCTGACCATGAGGTGTGTCAATCCTCGCGAAATGTCGTCTTTGTCTTCCGTTTTGATGACGTCATGTTTGAAAGAGAACCCTGACATCGTGGGGGCCTTAGATACTGAAGCTGGGGCTAGCACTGCTTCGGCAGCAGGAGCTTTGTGTGAGGGTTGTGTTGGCATGGTAGTCTCTTCTTCTTCTGTGGGCAGGACCTTCCTGACTACACGGCGAACCACCTTTACTACTTTCTTCCGTGTCAGACCCTTGTCCTCTGTAGTATCCGTCTGGCTGGTGCTGGTGCCTGAACGTTTGACATCACCCCTGGCTGTACTATTGACCACACTTTTGCCCATTATGCTATTTTGCTGTCGCTCACTGTTCATAGCTGGCTCTGGGCTCAGAGGAGCTTGTGGTGGTTCAGGGCTCCTAAATTGCTCAGCCGCCTTTGACGCTGGTTCAGGGCTTTTGAAGCGTTCAGGCACTTTAACAAGTGTCCTGACTTTTGGTGGGGAGGGACTTCTGACCCGGGCTACCGACTTCATGGGGGAAACTGATGGGGGACTTGTTGCTTGGAATAACCCCTTGCCAGGGTCTAGAGCTGACACTGACCTGGACCGGCTGGGCAGCCCTTCACTGTCTGACTACTCATAGAGAGGAAAGAGAGGAGGTGTAAGGACATGAATGATGAACGAATATGCAAGCACCATGTCGTTATGCCTTTAATAATCACTCAAAAGATTTGGTACCTTTATGGGTACGCTGAACAATCACACAACAAAGCTACAAAAACTGTCTATCTGAGCAGAAGTGGACTGAAGTCAATGATCAAATCTCATGAACATGCACCTGCTCATGTCCAGGTGGGATTCATCTGGTTGGAATGTATATGATAGGGTTGTGTACCTCACATGGAACACTTGTACAAACCACCTCAGAAAAAAAATTCAGTTGAAAGAGGTTCAGAATATGAAAATGTCCTTGCACGTGGCCCAATGTCTTGCCAAATCTAATCTTAATTACAATGTGTGTGATACTAACTTGAAATGAGTCAAGTTCTACCAAAAAATGTACACACAATACAGCATTAAGTTGGACTTTGTTCTCTACAAAGAACACGTCGATAAAGAGCTGGCAGACATAAGACAGCTCTAACATGACTACTCTGAGGAGAAACACATGTACCCAGGCAGAAGGGACAGCATTTACTTACACTTCTGCTTCCTGGGATGTTATCTTCTTTGACCTAAATTTGTTGATATCAAAAAGACAACTAGATCAAAACCTGAACACTCCATGAAGCGGTTGTCCGTCGCACGCCGTGCAAACCTCAAAGCATGCACATGATCTGTTCTTTCTCTAGATACAAACACTCAAGAGCTAAAACTTAAAGCACTCACTGCATTGGAAGTGAAATGGTTATGTGTCCAGCAAATGATCGGTGGTACAAAGTCGCAGCTACTATAACATGTGCTTATACATGTGAGAGAAAGCCATCACATTCTTAGTGCGATACAAGCAAAGGCCACACGTATCTAAAGACACACATATTAATACACAGCGTAAAACACTGGAACACCATGCAGTGTAAGAGTGCTTTATGAAATGTCCAAATGAGACTTCCCTTTTGCTCCCAGAAGGAAAAGCGAGATGAGAATGCCATGTTGGCTGGTCTGCTGTCATGGGCTGTGATGGATGAGATGAGAGCAGAAGGAAGAGGAGGTGGAGGGGAGCTAGGAGAGGAAGAATGGTGAGAACACAGAGACACATGAACAGAAATGAGGATCTTCAGGCTAGAGACACAATTGGATTGAAAACAGAGAATAGGGTCTGGGAGAAGCAGAGGATGAACAGGAGATTAGAGCAGGTTTAGAGAAATGAAAACACTCAAAAGTCAAAGGATATCATCATCCCACTACAGCCTGCATAACTCAATGAAGGGGGATGTATCCTTGTGACTAGGGCTCCGGACAAATGTCAAAACATTATTTTAGAATGCTTTGAGACATTTTCATGATAAAGGATACTGCATTCAGAACACATCTTGACCTTTTTTTACTTTAGAAGGGAAATAAAGTAAATGATATGTTTAAAGACAGAAATAAATGTAATGTGATTCATTCAGAGTTAGTTAACAGCCATGCTGTTGTTTTGAGTTGTGAATGAATTAAAGACTATTTAGAAAAAAAATGCTTTTTTTCCACATATTTACTTTAGTTTTTTCAACTCTTTTCACCACAGCCAAAATGGGAATTACATTACACTTAATAGAATTGACTTCTTTGAAAGCTGACGGAACCTTTTACCTCTTAACTCTCATGAGGAACGTGTTTGAAAATAAGCAGCGTAGACGCTGTTGGAGACACAGTTCATCTAGAGATTAGGCCTGCGTCCCTATTTGTTCCATGTGACGTGCACTTCTCAGCAAAGACAGAACATGAAGATGATTTGTTGAGGGCTGGATGTAGCAGAGCTGCAGCAGTGCTGTCTGTGTATCTGTGGGCGCCGACATGAAAAGCTGTTCGTAACCACAGACAGTATGACCTGTCTGGGAGTGATGTAGTGCATCCGCTACCGTCTCTCCTGTGTGTGCGAGGACCAAAATGTGTGCATGTCTCTCGGTAAGGACAGTGATCGAACGTGAGCGGTGACGGTGATCAAACCGGTACACCCATCCCTAATGAGTGGGTACTGTATGGATTTGATATAATGTGATTGTGGTGTGATCAGACCTTTCCATCAGTAGGAAAAATACATTTACCACCATCTCAAACAGGCAGTGTCATACCGTCTCAGAAGAGTTGTGGTATGCTGCCTGAAGCATACCAGGCACATCCAGTCCAGGGTTTCTGCCTTGTCTTACTCATCTTAACCAGTTTTACACAAAACAGAACAAAGCTGCCTTGAACTACGTGACTTGGACTAGAGGCTTTCAGCATGTCAGTGTCCAGGTCTGGCGTGGCTCTTATCAGAGGTCTCTGAATTAGAACGCTGACTAACAGGTTTATTTCTGGACCAGACAGTGGTACTGTAGGGATGTGGGCCAGACTCCCCCCTCGGAGAGAGGCCACCAGGGGCCAAAAAAGCCCCCACAGCGGCGCTGCAGTCACACATCATCACACAAACATCTTAGATGGACAGATAAGTTGACACCAACTATCAAACCACACCACCTTACTGTCTCCCCGGAAAATATTGAATGGAAGCTGATTTCATAATGTAATATTTTCTGTTTCCATGAAAACAAATGGAAGAAACTTGCTTGAGGATACTGTATTGATACTGTATTTAAGCTGTACTAATGTATTCATTACAGAAAAATTTATATTTAGTCAGAAATAACAAATCACAAGCCAAACTATACACTCATAACATTCAAACAGCATTTGACCACCACACACACATATAAACAATCACTGTCAATCATTTGACTCGTACTGCCTGATTAACAGCCTGCGTGTTCTATTCACTGTTCCTAGAACAGCCAGGGAAACCTTTAGTTTGGATTCTGTATGAGGGTTAACTTGGACATCAATTCACTCTTCTTCAAAGACAAAAGGCAATGGATGCTTTTTGCTCTGGTCTGGTATTACCAGTGGACCTCTTGTGACCCACGTCTGTTCTTCACATAGCAAATGTGCACAGGGTGTCTTTGGAATGGAGTCAACAGAGTCCATATGTCTACAAAGCCAAAGGCAAGCTCACACATATCCCACAGCAGCTGCTTGTTGCTGTGCTGCTGTTGACAGTGGACCGGTTATATCTGTAGAGAGGTCTGACAGAAACTAGACCCATGGAAAAGCTGCAGTCATTCATTTACGCAAAGGGTCTATTGATCTCACAATGAAGAAATATGTTAAATTGTCTTTCTGGAAATAAAAGGTGGGATTTGGTCAGTGAAAGTCAAACTTCTTTACTCCAAAACATAGAGGTGGAGTTGAAGTCATACATCACATGAGCATCCCAGGTAGTCCAGTCACAACAGGCCAGAATTCAGTGAATCATGACAACAAGGCAATATGGCTGAAATCCTCCTTACAATGACCAAGATATTTGAGATTGTTCACATATGGCAGATAACATAAAATGAGCAAACTGATGTTCAAAACATAGACCAAACACCTCAAAACTTTACATTTAACTAAAAAAATAAAGACCTTATCAGAGTACCACAACTAATGGCACAGTCAGCTATATTACCGTAATATGAACTGAAAACAACAAAAGTTCACTTAATCTCAGTCTAGACTACATTTCCCAACAGTCACACAGGCACATGAGCTCACACTGAGCATGTCCCTACCTCTTGCCCTCGAGGGCCCACGCTTGCCATAGATTTTCTGCAAAAGACCCCGCTTCTGGTTAAAAGGTTATCACACAATGTTCTACCTGGTAGTGAAGTAATTCCACAACTCCTGTATCCAAATAGTTCCCACAGTCACCGTTAAAATAGAAACAAATGGCCAGAGTCGAGGAGATCCGAGCAAGTGGCTGGAGGCACAGTGGAAAGTGAAACAGCAGAGCCGAGGAGAGGGGGAGGCTCCGATAGGCCGGCTATTCCTGACGGCGGACAGACCAGAGACGTGGGGACAGCTGTTGTGATACGAGGGTGTTGATCTGGGGTAAAAATAGGAGCCTCTCCATGAACCCCCCCAGCACCTCCACGGTCCAATCAGCAGCCACACATACTGCTGCAGTTGCTGTCGTCTCAGCTGCTCCTGTGTGTGCCCATGTGCGTTTCTGTGTGTGTGTGTGTGTGTGTGTGTGTGTGTGTGTGGAAGGAAACGTAGCTCAGGGTCCGTCAGTGTAACTGTTGTAGGTCACCAATACAAAATATAGGACTCATGACATAGTGCATTCAGGCTATTTCAGGGGCCCATCTGACACAATAGTGCTACACTGGAGTTTGTTTAGATATGGAGTCACTGTTCAAAATGAACTTGTTGACTCAACGTCTAAGTGGACTGGCAGATGAAATAATCCACCAGCCAAGTACATTTTTCACAATAATCACTTGCCGTTTTGTGTCACGTATTCATTAGTTTCATTGGTCCATTTTATTGAGATAATACGGTAATATGATGAATACTGGCGACACAGAACAGATACTGATGATACATTGTGAAGGAGGAGAGCTGACGTTAGGAATGTTGACAGCAACAGCTGTTATTATAATGTACGCTTCCATTTAGTTACATTAGTTCAAGCTCCATCCGGTAAAAATGAGTATTGGATGAAAGTAAATTATCACATTATCATGATGTGTTCAAATGTAATCTTGTAAAAATGTATTTTTGGTGAGAAACGTGAATAAATACAGGTTTTAGTACTTGTTTCTAACAATAGCTCATTAAAGCTCATCATGAAAACAATGGCAACATTGTTTTATCAATACATATAATCTATAATAGCAAACATTTAATAAATAATGAACGAGTAGACTAATTGTTTCAGCAGCAGACACAGGGACAACATAAGACAGTCAGTCTTCAAATATTGACGATTAATTTCATTAAATACTGCTTTAACTTGAAATTCTCTTGCACTAAACTTTAAAACTAGCTTGAATTCAAACCTCTCTTTTAACGGCACACTTGACCTCTAAGCTTAAATTACATTTCATTTTGTTGCACCAAAACTTTAAACTCCAATTTAAAATGTGGTCTAGAATTAACTTTGAGCCGACACTTGAGGAGGTTACACTTTTCAAACGGCTGTCTTGTTAAGATGGATTGAGCAGAATGATGAAGTTCCTCAAAGAAAGTATCGGGACGGACTTTTTTGATGCTGCTGCAGCTGAATTCCTCTCAAAGAACCCGTTATGAGGCTCAGCAGGACTGGACCAACAGCAGAGCTTTCTACACAAGACACTGCAGTCTAAGAACAAGTTGCATCATGGTAGCCACAGCAAGGGGAAACTAAATGCAACCCCATCAGGTGGCTCCACTGTTACAGCTTTCCAAATGTTAACTATGGATCTCTGTCAGTCAGATGCATCACAGCAGCTCAACAGTCTGCCAGCTAGCTGGATAGCTAACGCTAACAGACAAATGAGTCTGGTGGCACTTGTTCACTTGTTCCTGAAGATCTGCAGAAGCTAGTTATGATGCTCCGTCGTATCTACTGGGAACATACCTTTACACTTTGTCCAAGCATCATTAGGTGGTCCAGCAGCTCAGCTGTCTGTACATCACAGCTAACTCAAACGGTCTCAGCAGCTCTCTCTGCTGTCCCCTCTGTTTCAGTAGATACACAGGACTCCAACGTTCTACATGTCTACGGTTGAGTGTGTTGGAAGTTGCATCATCTTCCTGTGTGAAACCATTAGAGCAAAGAAAAGCAGAAGCAGAGTGGAACATGTGCTTCCCTCATTGCCGGCACTGAATGAGATGCTGACTCTCAACACTACTAGAGTTGAATGAAAACCTCCCAGTCAAGTTCATGGTCATGTTAGTGAACAGAGATGTATGACCAGGTTCAAAACTAACTCTTTATGTGGTTGTTGCCACGCTGACCACCAGACATCGGCTTTTAGTCGCGCACACTGTAAATATGGAGGCCATTTTTAGTCACCTTATCTTTTAGGTAACTAAGATACTATGCATTTATACATCAGTTTAATAACGACAATGTGACATTAAAGAATAAACGCTGTATTACAGTAAGCAAACTAAATTCTTTGTAGTGTGTTTTCTGTGGTACTGAATCTTAGTGTTATCAGTTAACGTGTCCACTCTCGAATCTGATATACACATAGCAGTAGTGCAGCTGCTGTCTTGTTCTTCACAGATCCCTCAGAAATGAATCCAGCAAGTCATGTTGACTTTACAATGAAGTTGTTTTTTTATGTTATTTAGTTTTCTAAACCCTTGTGCTGATTCCCACCACAGATCCATGAACCCTTCAGCACTGAATTCCTGGATTGGAGACGACCTCCAACCTGTCTTCCTCAAATCCTCTCACACATACGACAGAGAGACTGGGAGATGTAGCATCACAATGTTTTCCAGTTGTTATTACAAAGCCACCACAAGATGGATACTTGGAGGATGTAACAACAAATGGAATAAAGTATTCATGGACTGAGAACTGGTAGTTTTAAGACTTTGACAGTGTGGGGTCTTTCCAAAAAGTTGAAAGGAGCTTTAATTGTTTCTCAAACAGACGTACCACCTGTCTCATTCCAACAGCAAAGATGTTCTAATAAGTAAACCCTGTCACATCTAAATTACAGTCTAACTAGTTATCACTGTGTATACATGTAGGTGTCACATGTGTGTACATGATATGTTCTGCAGTTAGCATTTAGCATGCTAAATGTTCAAATGCAAGATTTACTTCACATGCTTCCACAAGATGGAAACACAAGCACCTGGACCTTGTGTTTGTTAAACCCTTTGCAAAAGGCTTACCCGTCACACTGAATGCACCAGTCAAAATGTCACTGTCGATATATTGAAGCGTCTTCTCCTAGCGTTTAAAGCATTAACGTTGTTGGGTTATGTTAAGGTGAGGACTGGGTCAGTGTTTTGGTTAAACAATGAAAAAGTCTACGTTGGCTTGAAGCACAATTCTTTTGTCCTTTACACGTCCACCTCTTCCCAAAACATGAAGAGGGAAACGAATGTACTCAGATTAGTTGGGAATCTATATGAATGTAATACATATAGATAATATTCATACAAGTTGGGGTTGAATAAGTGAAGTCTAAGAATACAACTCGGGACTTTAGTTTTTCTCACATAAGCAACACGGTGAGATTTTCTCATTCTGTCTGTACTAAAGCAAAGCTTTCACACGTAGACCATCCACCACACAAGCACACGGATCAGGCAGCAGGTCTCTTGTATTCGTTCCCCACCACCTCTGCTTTTGGACCACTAGATGGAGCCAAAGGAGCAGGAAAAGCTCCACATGCTTTTTGGATTCCTGCAGCCACACAAAGCCTCCATTATTTTCTAGAGGCTGCCATGATATTCTAAGGAGGAACAGCACAGTGATGAAGATAAAGTGCAAGTAGTGACAGCTTTAGTCCAGCTGACAGTGAGGAGGAGGAGGAGCAGGAGGAAGTGGTGGTGTACAGGCTGGGCTGTCTTTGGAAATAGAGTGTAGCTTAAAGAGGAGGGTGGGGTAAGAAGGGCGAGGAGAGAAATGCAGTGATGTAACACTGTTTTCAAAAGTGACTACAAGTACTATGAAAGGAAGTGTGTCATGTAAAGCCAGATCAGCTGAGAGGAGCACACGTATGGTCTGAAACTGTTCTGAAATATTTAGTATCCTATTAGCTCCATCTGGAAGTCAGAACTAATCGAATCGATCTCATTTTTGGGAAAAGCGAATTCGGAAAGAAGCAGACAGAAGGGGGGTGTGGCCCGCTGCCCGTTTTAAAATGGCCTGAGGTGAATTTTTTGAATAAACTACAATTTCTAATAAATTTCACTGTATGTACATTGCACATCCTAGTTTAAACACTCCACCAGAATTTTACCATTCCTGCCTGTTATGTTCCTTACATCTTCATATCAGACAGATGTATATCTTACACCTACATTTGCAATGTAATCTTCTAAATGGGCTCGAGGCCATGAACAGAACGGTCAGAATGGTCATTTCTGCCTGCCTTAAGTTGATTTATTTACATAATTACACATCAAATCATAATATTTAAGTAGGTACAGTAAACTAACTGTAATGTCCAGCATCCAACTGTTGAGTATAGTGTTGATTTGTTATTTTAATTGACAATTTTCCATGGCACACAGATTTTCTTGCAGTGTAACTGGTTGAAAACGACAGTATTGTTTTGCCCCTAATGCTTGTATTGTTGTATTTATGGCCCACAATCATAAACATTTGTCCATCCCTGACATCCTGGATATATCCATGTTTATGCTAGTTAATGATGTGCTAATGTACTCTGCTAATGTTAGCTCGACAGGTTTTTTTGTAGAACTGTAACGTTTTAGGAACGTATATCTCCTTCAACCTCTTTGAGTACCACTATTACTCAACATATACGAGCTCCAAAACCACTGACCCACCTGACCTATGGAGCAGAGCTCGCTGAAGCTGCGCTATGATTGGTCAGGCTGCGCTCAAGGGGTGGGACTTAACAAAGGATCACTTCCCATGTACATTTCCTCAATGGCATGTGACATTCCAGTAATGCACCCAGGAAAATGTACTCGAATGTTCTCTGCTGTCAGGAGCTCCGCAGATGGTGACAGCGCCCCCCCCCGCCCACACACACACACACACACACACACTCACAAATCATTTCTCCTACCAGGGGGATTCCCGTGTTGACAGGATTGAGGGTGAGCCCTTGAACTGACTGATTGCCACTGGTTAGTACGACACACCATCATAGTCCCCAGCAGCTGGTTCCACAAGGAAAGACAAATAGTCGATGTTCAGACACACATGTGGTGAGCTAGACTCAAACCCGGCCATCCACCATGAGGACTGCTGACATGACAGCCTACAGGTGGTTGATCAAAAGAGAACTCTAACAGTTCCTTAACCACACCTGTTGGTTTTGTAATTTATTTTTCTACACGTGCTAAACAAACAAGGTTCTCTAAGTAAATGAAATAGATTCAGACGGAGCGAGACAAGCAGTTTCAGTCTCCCTCCAGCCTTTGTTCTAAACTAGACTAAACATGAGCCAGACCTAACTCTGTACTGGATACTCACAGATGTAACCGCTACAGACTGTGTTGGAGAGCAACAAACTCAATTCTCTCTGCGTGGTATCTAAAGTTGTTTCCAGTTTCTTTAGATATAGTCCATCAATTAGTCAAACGACGTATATTTATTACATAAAAGCAATCATCATCAACAATCATCTCTACAAACATTATAGCTGAAAAAGTGTAGTGTTCCAGACAAGAGCTGGGCAAAGGGTTTCATGTTGATGGATGTGTAACTCACACTGGTGTGCACCATGCTGATGTGTGTCAGACATAGTTCTAGTGTTTGGTACTGCCACTGACACTCTTGTATCATAGCGGCACAAGTATTGGAAATGTTAAAGACCCAGACCTACTGGACTGGACTTAACTTTTGAAGCTTAAAATGAATCCATCCTCATTTATTTGCAAATCTCTGACAATCATTTGAGTGTTCAAGAGCATCTCAGGCTGTGATAACTAAAGCCCTGATTCTGTGTAAAAAGAATGAACACCTAATGCTGTTAAGCAGAGGCCGTCAGAGACCAAGTCTATGTCTGTGTAAAAGAGAAAGCCAGCATTATGCCCACGTTGTTTGTTCACTGTAAAGAAGCAAAGGCGGCATAACGGCAGATCCTCTTTACAGCAGTATAGCAGAATCTCTGTGTAAAAGAGGCTAGTGTGTGTGTGTGTGTGTGTGTGTGTGTGTGTCATGCCTGAGCGAGCTCAGCCGTTGTGGTGCAGGGTGGCAGATGTAGGTCACACAGAGTGCATGATGTGTGTGGCTGTGGTACATGTGATGCTAACATAAAAATGACACACACACACACACACACACACACACACACACACACACACACACACATAGTTTGAGATACCAGAGAAGAAGAGACCCCCCATCTCACAACATGATAAACAGACTAAACAGCTATCAGCTTCACATCACGTGTACTGCAAGCGTGTCCATTGTGTCTGGCTGCAGATCTCTGAGGAATGGGTGGGAAGGACAAAACAAGGAAGATGCTTTTTACACAACTCTTAATAATCCAGCTGCTCTGACCTCAAGTGCCAGGTCAAAGGGCAAGGGGTCAGGTGCTTCAAAGTCCAAATACAGACAGCGTCTCCAGCAGCATGTGCAGTATTAGTGACATTAAAGATGATCAGGGACAGTGGCGTGTCAGGATCAGGAGAACCTTTCTCTGTTTCTATTCAGGTTAGTTTCACTGAGAGGAAGCTTCTCTTTTGCAGGAGCACCCTGCTCACATTCACTCAGTCACACTCATTCACACACAGAAGCTGCCCAGTGACACCAGTCTGATCTGCTGGCCTCTGAGCAGCTCCATGGAGCGGTAGGGGTTAAGGGCCTTGCTCAAGGACACCATGGTGGTCAGTGGACAGATCGTCTCTATATACTCACAGGACGTTCCTTCACACTCCAGCAACGCTTTTCACATGTGATGACATTTTTGGACTACAGTGGTATTTTGCATTTTGACAGGTAATGATGTTAGTTAATAACTATGCCATATGAAAGCCTTGAGTTATGAACACAGCGACACAGAGCAGTGACAGGATGTAGTGAGTGAACAATGAGCCCCAGGGCGTAGGTCAGCAGAGGAGGAGCAGATAAAACACAGAGCCAATCACTGCCCTGTTTGCTCAAACGGAAGCTGTGAAGCAGATAAGCTGACATGTGCTGAAGTGTGACCTTTGACTGTGTGTGTATGGAGTGATTGCGTAGGACTGGCACATTGACTTTCTGTATGTTTGAGGCTTCGCTGAATTTTAGCAGGTTGACGTGAACAAAAGAAGCCATTAGTGGAGAAAACAAAGCAGCTCATTGGCCAAGCTGTATCCTACTATCGGTCTGCAATTGGTCTAAAATATCACATGATTCACTGCGTTGCCTTATGGGAAAGTCTCTTTTTCTGGTCTATTTCTTTGACTTGCATGCCAGCTACACATGTGATACTTTGAGGTGTATAAACATGATCTCCTTTTATTTGACAAAATAAGTAAATGTTGTCTGAACACTTCAAATGTTTATTTCATGTGAAGAGTGGAGAAAGAGAGACAGACAGAGACAGAATGACAGAGAGAGAGAAAGAGACAGACAGAGAGAGACAGAGAGGAGACAGAGAAAGAGAGAGACAGAATGACAGAGAGACAGAGAGAAAGAGACAGACAGAGAGAGATAGAGAGGGGAAGAGACAGAGAGAGAGACAGAGAGGAGACAGACAGAGAGAGAAAGAGAGACAGACAGAGAGAGAGACAAAGAGAGAGACAGAGACAGACAGAGAGAGAAAGAGAGACAGACAGAATGACAGAGAGAGACAGAGAGGGGAAGAGACAGAGAGAGAGAGAGACAGAGAGACAGACAGAGAGGGAAAGAGAAGGTGGATGTTGGACTATAGAGAGCTGCAGGAATGAGTCCTAGGATCCAGAAAAGAGTCGGCTTTCTTTAACTTCCTGTTCCGTCGCCTGGAAGTCAAAGTGTTTTTTTAATGTGTTTTTGGTTAGAAGCCTGAAATAAGGTCTGTAATTGACACAAGCTTAAAAGTCTTTAACTATTTGTTCTAAAACATTAACTATGTCAGTCGCATGCCCTGTGCACAGCTGGTACCAAAAAGACTGACGGCATCAACCGGTGCCAATTTATGAACAATTTAATGCCACGTTTGGCCACATGGGGCAGTAATACCAACCACAGTCTGACAGAATATCTCATTATGAAATATAACTTGTCTTTTTGGCTCCTACAGTTTCTGGAAGTTAATAATAACTTACCCAGAATGCTGCTTTGTCACCTGCCCGACTGACATCGAACCCCTGGGTTTTGGGTCGACATACCTCACTGGTACAAATAGTTTAATACTACTACTAATATTTACTACTAATATTATTAGTGCATGTAGCCTCATCTTATTTCAACTGTGCAGAAAACAGTGTTTGTACTGAATGAAAAGACATGCAAAAAGTAGATGTAGTTCACTGAGAGGTTGCACACCAAAACCAAATGCTGCTACGACAAACTGCGACCGTCAATTTGCAAAATGATCTTTGAAATGGACATCATATGTCATGCCACAATTCCAATGGTAAAAAAAGATATTTCTCTCCATTGACAACCAAAGGTATTTGTTCCTGAAATGAGGTCCCATGAGGAACACTGAAGGGGAGGGTCCAGCCCCTCAGTAAATCAAACGATGGTACAGTTGTGAAAAAGTGTTTGCCCCCTTCCTGATTTCTTACTTTTTTGCATGTTTGTCACACTTAAATGTTTCAGATCATCAAACAAATTTAAATATTAGACAAAGATAACACAAGTAAACACGAAATGCAGTTTTTAAATGAAGGTTTTTATTATTAAGGGAAAAAAAAAATCCAAACCTACATGGCCCTGTGTGAAAAAGTGATTGCCCCCCCCCCCCCCCTGTTAAAACATAAATTAACTGTGGTTTATCACATCTTTGGAAAGCTGAGTTCAATTTCTCTAGCCACACCCAGGCCTGATTACTGCCACACCTGTTCTCAATCAAGAAATCACTTAAATAGGACCTGCCTGACAAAGTGAGGTAGACCAAAAGATCCTCAAAAGCTAGACATCATGCTGCGATCCAAAGAAATTCAGGAACAAATGAGAAACAAAGTAATTGAGATCTATCAGTCTGGAAAAGGTTACAAAGCCATTTCTAAAGCTTTGGGACTCCAGCGAACCACAGTGAGAGCCATTATCCATAAATGGCGAAAACATGGAACAGTGGTGAACCTTCCCAGGAGTGGCCGGCCGACCAAAATTACCCCAAGAGCGCAGTGACGACTCATCCAAGAGGTCACAAAAGACCCCAGAACAACATCCAAAGAACTGCAGGCCTCACTTGCCTCAATTAAGGTCAGTGTTCATGACTGGGCAAAAATGGCCTGCATGGCAGAGTTCCACGACGAAAACCACTGTTGAGCAAAAAGAACATAAAGGCTCGTCTCAGTTTTGCCAGAAAACATCTTGATGATCCCCAAGACTTTTGGGAAAATACTCTGTGGACTGACGAGACAAAAGTTGAACTTTTTGGAAGGTGTATGTCCCATTACATCTGGTGTAAAAGTAACACGGCATTTCAGAAAAGGAACATCATACCAACAGTAAAATATGGAGGTGGTAGTGTGATGGTCTGGGGCTGTTTTGCTACTTCAGGACCTGGAAGACTTGCTGTGGTAAATGGAACCATGAATTCTGCTGTCTACCAACAAATCCTGAAGGAGAATATCCGGCCATCTGTTCGTGACCTCAAGCTGAAGCGCACTTGGGTTCTGCAGCAGGACAATGATCCAAAACACACCAGCAAGTCCACCTCTGAATGGCTTAAGAAAAACAAAATGAAGACTTTGGAGTGGCCTAGTCAAAGTCCCAACCTGAATCCGATTGAGATGCTGTGGCATGACCTTAAAAAGGCGGTTCATGCTCGAAAACCCTCCACTGCGGCTGAATTACAACAATTCTGCAAAGATGAGTGGGCCAAAATTCCTCTACAGCGCTGTAAAAGACTCATTGCCAGTTATCGCAAACGCTTGATTGCAGTTGTTGCTGCTAAGGGTGGCCCAACCAGTTATTAGGTTTAGGGGGCAATCACTTTTTCACACAGGGCCATGTAGGTTTGGATTTTTTTTTCCCCCTTAATAATAAAAACCTTCATTTAAAAACTGCATTTTGTGTTTACTTGTGTTATCTTTGTTTAATATTTAAATTTGTTTGATGATCTGAAACATTTAAGTGTGACAAACATGCAAAAAAATAAGAAATCAGGAAGGGGGCAGACACTTTTTCACACAACTGGTATGTCAATCATCTCAGAGGTGGACTGACTGGAAGACAGCTATGTTTACATGATGTGGGACCACTGGTCTAACCTTAAAGAGTTAACACCAGCCTACCACACCCTCAGTTTGACCTCAAATCACAGTGACAGGTGAGCAGCGATTGTTACCATGGAAACAGCCAGGTGCTCTGACAGAGCTGCTGTGTCACTGCGCTCAGTGTGGAGAGAAAGCAGACTGCTGACTGTGCGCTTTTCAGTGAGCACGGTCAGCACTGAGAGAGGCCAAACAAGCCCATCTGACACAGTGCTGCTGCACAACCACTCATTGGTCATCTCCTTCTGAAAGGAATCAATCTGATCTGAGACTTCTCTCAGAGACCAACAACATGCTGGTCCCTCTCTCAGTACTTTCTGATCCCTGTACAGTCAGAGGCTCGACACCCAAAGCCTGTTGGTACCTACTAAAGGCAATAATCTTTAACAAATCACTCATTTATTTTCACTTTTTATAAATGGTTCAGTCATTTCCTAATACAGGCAAACATTTGAGTTTCTAGCTAATTTTATGGGGACTATTTTCAGCTGCAGATTAATATGCATTTGATGCTGTGACTGAATTGCCATTTCCTGTCCCTGTATTCATACAGTCACACTGACACTGTGTTGACATGAGCAGAGCTTTGTTCCACAGTTCGTTTAGTTTTGTCCCAACCAGTAGGTACTGAGGTAGTAGGGAGACGCCTCATGATGGCTCCTTCTGATTGTGAAACCAAACCCCTCATTGTAATTCTCACCTCTCCAGACCTCCCTTCGTTTCTCTCCAGCAGCAGTCTGCTGTATTATTCATCGGGGCTGCAGCATCTCTGTGAATAATTCAACTAAAGTGGAGAGGAGAAACTCACTCTGAAGCAGGCAGGAGGGCCGGAGCGACATGGACAAATGCACTGCCACATTTAAACAAGCCGACAGTAAAAACACTAGAAACACTGAGTACCTATGTCCTCTGACCCCTGACCAGGCCTCAGCCCTCACCACAATGTATGTCTAAGGAAACACACATTTCATCCCTTTATAGTCAGAGAACGGCTATCCGAATCCAGACATGTTGTGTATTTGCTGAACATTGTAATTGTTCAATGTTCAGCAAATACACAACATGTTTAGGCTCAATGGACATGAGTAAAGCTCAGACTAAGATAAAAACATAGTGTCTGCTACTTAAGCAAATAAATAACATTACATTAATTAACTCCAACATTGTTTTCAGAGGCCCAGGAGGACCAAATGCTTCCATGCAGGATGTGACTTATTCCACTGAGGCTTCTTGTTTATTGACCTCCTTGATTCAATTTGGATTTAATATGATTTGATTCAACGTTATTTGCATCTTTAATGACAGTGTTTGTCTTGAAGCATTTTAATAAAACATAATTTTACATCTACAGCTGTGTATGTGTGTGTGGCCCTTAAACAGCCAGAAGAGCGCACACACACATTCACTTGTTTGACTAGTCATCTACTGCTCATCTGTTTAGCCCAGTGCCTCGTCCTCTTCATTTAACAACACCCCCTCTTACCGTGGCAGCGTGGTTAATCCCTGAGGATTAGCTCCGAGCAGGACAGCCGGCTCAGCCACGGTGTCAAATCTGGTAGGAGACCCTGATCTGGCTACTTGGCTCCACGAGGCTATGAGAGACCAAGTGAGAGGCGAATAAGTAGGAAAGAGGATTAAGAGCCATACAGTGTCATGTTAACCTTCTTGTTTAGTAAATCAGGAGCATCAGGCACACATAATCCTTTGACGGGCAACACAGAGCGATGTCTGACTAATCAGTATCACCAATCACAGAGAAGACTAATCTACACCACTGATGAAGATGCAAAACAACTGATACCACCCACTGATAGTAGAAGCTTTCTGGCCAGTGGAGTCGGGCTATTCAATCTCCATCATCCAAGCAGCTAGTGATGGTCAAAAGTGTTGTCAAGCAAGTAAAGTCTTTTTCAGACAGTGAATCTGTATCATTGGCTTCATCTACTGTGTCTAGGGACGCACCAGTAAAACAGACCTTATTGAGCCGATCTGGTATTGGCCAAACATCGCTGATCCACATTAAACAGTTTTCTGTTTGTGTTAAATACATCTCGACATATTTGAATATTTTGAAAAATGTAAATGTAAAAATGTTTATAAAATTAGGTTTCAAGGACGGTTGGCAGTATTCTCTGCTCTGGAATGTTGGGGGCGTGTCCGCTGA